ACCGTACAGACAGAAACACCCCACCCCACATACCCATGTGCCAATATGATCCGAGTTACACCCATCCTTATACCACGGGGCCTGGGCTGCCAAGTCCAGCGCAGGCTCCAAAAGCTAATTCATATTACGCAAATCGATCGCGACATGGAGAGAGTTGTCTCATTCGGTATATCACCCCAGATACTTCACCATTCATCCTCGCAGAACTCACTCACCAATTCCTATCCTTGTACCATTCTACCAACGCAGCAGTCTCAGCTGCACACTCACATTCTGACCACGGCATCCCAAGATCCGTACAAGTCACGCATGCCGCCGTAAACCCCTGTTCCAAATCCAGCGTAACACGTAGATTCAAAGGCACCTTTATGCGAGTGAGCGGCAACTGCGGCCCCTGACTCCTGACATGCTTCACCTGCCACTCCAGTGAACCCTGTAAAGCAGATAACAAGCAGGTGCGCAGTATATGCATGATCCGGTCCAGTCTAAAGAATTCAATGCGTAGAATCTCTAACCGCAAGATGGGAGCTGGATAGTGAAGCAGAACAGCAATGCTGGGATTTTGATGGCAAAAAAAAGCCAGGTCGTTGAAGTCCCCGGTTCCGATCATCATCATTAGAGCCACGAAGGGGGAACGGTACGGTTCGCTGGTTAGACAGTGGTGCCGCGGGTATATGTGCATGCTTCTGCGTATGGGTGTTTCACTCCTAAGTACACGAGCGAAGGCGAGGAATGTCTTTAGACCGTCTTCATCCCCAGCGGAGGGCTTGAAGGTGAAGGAGGTGGTGTATTTTGGGAGGAGAGATTTTGTCTCAAAGTGGAGCTGACGGCATGTGTAGTTGAGCGCGTTGGCTTCAACGAGGTGGGCTCCGCCAGACTCTATTGCACCTGGTTGGAGATCGAGCAGGCAGAACTTGAGACTGGAGGAAACGCGTACGCCGTCACTGAAAGTGAAGACATAGCTGTAGATTTCGTTGCGGATTTCAGCTGGGAGGTCGAAGAAACGAGATTTTGGGCTGTAGGGTGCGACTTGGTCTTGGGGACCTCGGGATGTACGTTCGGGGGAAGGGGCTGCCATGTCGGGTTGGTAGTGGAAGGCCTTAACTATAGCACTGTGAATTGTAGAGTTCTCAAGTCGAGTATGGCGATGACAGGAAACAGAAGTTGTGAGATACCATTTTTGTAGAGCTTGTAGGAAATATTTCCTGCATCCATGGTTCTATCGTTCCCTTGATGATTTCGTGGTTCCAAGCCTCGGTACCGTACAGTCTACATCGCGAAAAGCCATGCATCATTCAACCAGCAAACATCATTCTACTGGAATTACGCTCGACGTGGAGGGAAAATGATTCATGAGACAATTGTGTCTTGTGTACAGGGCTTTCCACGGCCGGCAGTTATCAGGCCAACCTGCCCAGAGAAGTGGTGAGGACACCGGCAGGGCAGGACCTGGTTAAGGCATGCAGAGCTCACCCAGAACACGATAGCAACAGACGATCCATTGTGCCACTTGCAAGGGAGCAACGCCTCTAATATACAGAGTTCTCCAGTGACCACGCGAGAAGGACATGCACATGCTCGGCAGGCCGTCGGATGTTTCGCATCCGCACCTCGCTTGCACGCCCTTTGGACGGGATACCCAAAAGCAGTAATGATCAAAGTGTGGTAAGAATCTAGCTGAGCCTTCGATATTGCAAGCTCGAGCCCGTCGCCTTAGGGCATGCTTCCGTTGCTGTGGTGATTTATTGAAAATGACGACAATGACCCGAGTACCGTATCTCTCTTCTCAGCAGCACCCGTTTAACCTTCCCGTGTTAGCCCTTTCTCCACACACACAAACGCGCGAGGAACCCCGCCCTCTTGCTTAATTGAAACCTGTAGCGCCTTCAGCCGAAACCGGCGCGTGTCGTCAGTATCGTGATGGTGATGGTGTAGCCCCGCGAGGACGCGTAAAAAGCTGCAGGAAACCATGTCGTACGGCGGCGCTGCTATGCGTCAGACAAACCTGCCCACCGATAACGGGCTCTACTAAGCCCACCCAATGCCAACATACACAATCATACACAACACGCACACACCCGTGGACAAAGCATTTGTAAGACACGGGCATGAAAAACATGCTGCAATTCAGCACAGGGCAACGGAAATGCACACAGAAATCAGCCCACCACTGTAGTCCTCCAAGGCGGCCAAGATGCTCGTACAGCGGCAAAAAAGCACAACACAAAGAAAAGCCCGCCTCAAACCTCAGCACTAAGCTGATTATCCAGAATACAAACAAAGAAAAAGACCACAACATTACCCTTACCTAGGATCTTGCACCCTGTTCGTCCGCCAAAATTTACCCCATGCGGTATCATGATTACCATCAGCCAAACAAGTTTACGCGTGACGACGCGCAAACACATGATGTGCATATGTACTTACTTACAAGCCTCTCACGCGTCGCACCAACGAACCGGGCAAAACTGCAGCACCTAGCGCGACACGGATTCCGTTCGCGGACACGAAAAACAAGCCTTTTTCTTCTCCACCCCATTTTTGCAGCCCAAGTGGAGCCGATTTGCTCATATGTGGGCGCGCTGACTGGTGGGATAGGGCCAAAATGGCACGGCAGCTGCGTGTGCAAAGAGGCTGCCAAAGGAAAACCCGTTGGAAAGAAGTTGGTTGTGCGTTAGGACTTCGGCGTTAAATTGCCTAGACTGCCTTTTGCTTGCTGGGGTTTGTTGTGTGTGTGTGGGCTCCCTTCCTTCTTCAGTGGCCGGTCGACCGTATATGGCGTGGTAGAGTGTTTGTGCAAAGCTGAGGTGGGCTGCTTGCATATCCACATTCTGCCATGTTTTTCATACTTTTTTTTTCTTCTCCTCGCTCTCGTCTCAGTGAGGTCATTTTTCACTGGCTGGTCGATAGTTGAAAGGATTCAATCCTTTCTTCTCCCCAAACTTGGTTTGTTATATTGGGTATGTATTGCCACAACAGCATGGTATTGGGTTTGAGGTGTCAGCACCGGCTCCGGACGATCCTTCATCTCGTGGCTTAGGGCTAGATGATTACCATGGATCCATGATGACGCCTGTGCTCAGCACACGTTACGGAACTATTGACGGCACGGCAACACGGAGCCCAGTGCACGAAGAGGGGCTAATGTGGAACGCACAGTCACAGCCTGTCACTCTTCTCAATTCTATTTATCCAATTCATTCATTACTAGCTCATCTACTTCAGACTTCTTCACCTCATCAGAAAGGACAGACTAATCTATCAAAGTGTACAGGCTCATCATCACCTCGCTCATCGTCGAAGCCTGTACCACCCATCCAGTCGACCCTCTCATCTAGAACGAAACTGCACCGAAGCAGACTCCACCGAAAGAGAAAAGTTTGGGTATTAGTCGTTCACGGTTCGAGACAGTCGTTGAGATTCGTGAAGACTTCATACCCTATCGCACCCATTCATCGTCGATCCATCGTAACGTTCATCGTGGCCGTCGTGATAACAAAGCTGGGAGGCATGAACACAAGGAAAAAAACAGAGCCACACAATGTCGAGGGCTAGCAGAGAGTGTGAGGTAGTCGGGCAAGATTGCCTGAATATACAAAAAGAGCGGGTACGACCAAGGAAACTGTACCATGGTACAGCCCTGTTGTCGATAGGGCCGTAACGGTATCCACAAGGAGTTTTCGGCAGCCTCGCCAAATCCCGCTCTCGAATTATGGAAGTAGATCGAAGACAGATGGTCATGTGTAAGTCGTGAGCCCGGAGGAAATAACAAAAAGGAGAGGCAGAGAAAGACATCCGATCCCGAAGCCATCGAATGCGGACCGTGACCCGGATACCACAGCCGATAGTGGAATGTCGAGATGAAGAAAGTAAGAGTTGGTATAAACAAAACATAGGAGACGCTTTTCATGTGAAGCCAATGGATGACTCCATGGCAGATGGCAAGTATATGCAAGACAGCACTAGAGACTGCCTGTCGAAACGCCGATGATGCAGAACTAGATGCGTTTGTCGATCCGGAAAATGGCGAGTGAGCTCAACCACTAGTGTAAGTAATGGGAGTCGTCACGCATTGCCGCGAAACGTTGCTCGAAGGACGCCGGAGGCTCGAAGCTGTGCGACATCGCCTCCCGAGGGAACGTGTTGCTAGAGCGGCCAACGAAAGGTGAGCCTAGGCGGACGTTGGCCTGTCCCTGGATCTCAGCTGCCACTGCTGGCGAGTGCTGGGCCGGACTCGGCATGGCAGAGACTGGGCCTGAGCTTGCGAATGGGTTGAACCCCAACGGATCATTGGGTAGGGGCAGGCGTCGGGCGCCCTCCATCATGTCTCCCAAGCTAAAGCCCCGGCTCCTGACGCGACGATGGCTAGACTCAGCTGGTGCTCCAAACAGCTCGTTGATTCTCGATCCTTCAAAGCTATTGTTATGAAGAGCACGTCGCTTGAACACTCTTGACTTTGGTCGGGGAGCATGCAACTGGAAAGGCGAGCCCAGACGTGGCGACTGCGATGTGGATGCTGGCGCGTGCCAGGTTCGTACGTTCCTTTGGTTAGTGCTAACGTTGCTTGCCTCGGGCTTAGCGTGGAATGGGGAGCCAAGTACGTTGCCCAGCCCCAAGTTGATGTGAAGCGACTGCGACTTCTGGTGGGCAGAAGACCGCGCACTGGACCATGTCCTCGCCGGCGGCCGGGGTGTGACACCACTTGCCAGTTGGGACAGTGGATTGCCCATCTGCATTGACGGCGCGGTACTTGTGGCTAGCGAAACGTTCATATCCCTCGTCGAAAAGCTGGCGGACCCTTGCCCAAACGGCGAAGACAATGACTGTTGCTGGGGTAGCGGTTGTTGCACTGGTTGGCATTGGGATTGCTGTTGGGGTGGGTCCTCCGGTGGCGGAGAGGATTGCAGTGGCGAAGGCGATCGGCGGAGAAGGCGCTGGTAGTGAGCAGACAAGGTAGGTTTCGACTTGGCCAAGTCTCTCAGGCGCTTTCTGCACTGCTTCTCGGTAGGGAACCGCATGTAAGACTTGTTCGGTCTGGTAGAGGCGCTGCTGCTACCCTGGATCGGACTGGTCGTGGCGGGCGTGAGTACATGAGCAGCGTAGCGTGCACTCGCACGACTGGCACCAGCGCGGGCGGGCTTGGGGTCTTTCCAGGTTTTCCGAGCCATCCTCGCCACGCGGTGGCATGCTCCATTCGGCGGCGCAGTGCTTGGGAGCGCCTTGAAGGGAGTCACCGTGGGATCTTGTAAGTACTTCATGTAAGTCATCCAGAGGTGGTAATCCATTTCCTCGGTAAAAGTGGCTCTTGACTTTATTTTCTTAGCAGTACGTTGTGGTTGAAAAGACATGGAAGGAGAGGTAGGGCGTTGGGCCTTGCTTGTGGATGGGCCAAAGAAAGGGTCGAAAGATTCCTCTTCAGGGCTTGTGCAGCTGCCTCCCCGAGACAGGAAGGAGCCAATGCTATCGCAAGAAGATATCGAAGAGTCTGAGAAACCAGAAGAAGACGTGGGCCTGCTGGAGGATTCACTTTGACTGACATGCGGGATATCAGACCAGTCCTGGTGCCCGTCGTAGTGGTCGATGGTCCTCATCTGTGCAACGGGAGTCTTGGGTGGAGGTAGCATGCGAGTGTAGCCAAAGCCTGGAGACAGAAAGGCGTCGTCTTGGGGAAGTGAGTAGGAAGGAAGCTCACTCGATGGCTCCGACACGATCTCAGGGGCCTCGATGGTAGGGATTGGCCGCTGGTCCATGATGGCATCCATGTCATCAGGGTTCATGACCATGGTGGTGCGGCGGCGACGAACTTTGAGCACCTGGCGCGGAGGAGGTGGTGGTGGTTGCAGTTGCTCAGGCTGCGGCTCAGGCTCAGGTGTTTGTGGAGCTGGGCCGTCACGGTAATGGAACTGAAAGTTCCGTGGTAGAGTAATGGACTGGTGGGGGCGTTCAGAGTCCATGATGCTGGGTACCAGAGTATCAAGTGGACAGGCCGCGAGTTTCAGGGTACTGTAGTCTTTGACGCTGACCTAATAGGGCTTAGAGGTCAATCTCGACGACACTGCAAGGAGGGCAAGGGCTGTCAGGCGCCACAAGCGACGGATGCATACAGTGCAAGAGTGGTCAGGACGAAACTGCGTCGACTTTGATTATGCAGGGCGGTAGGTTGAGATGGTCGGGTCCCAACAGGTGTTTGGTAATGTGCGAACGCGACTGTGCGGCTGCAGGGCAGTTACAGGTGCGATCAGAGCAGTTGCGCCCTTGGGAGAGGGTGCAAACTGGTGCAAGAGCGGAATGCACTCTTGGATGCGCGGCGTGCTGGCGTTGTTGCGGGCGCAGAGGCTCTACAAGCAAGGACAACGCGTGGCGAGATGGATCCGTGGGGGACGGCGCGTGACTGGCAGGTGCGAAGCACGAGGTCGCGACACTATGGCAGTCGCGATTGACAGATGAAGATGTTCCAGAAGGTGGGCAATTGGAAGCAAGTCTGGATACGCGTGACTGTCGACGAGGCTGGTAGTAGTGGGTAGTTTTTGGCGAGATGTGGGAGTCGCGGGTCGCGGCGAAAGGTCCGGGTACGTGGGCGGAAAGGAAGTGAGCGCTTTACTCCGCGTCCATGGGGCGCGCAAAACAAAGCGAAGGTCCGAAGAAAACTCAAGGAAACGGTCGTCGAGAAGGCGCCTTGTCTCGGTGCGCACAGGAGTGCGACGGGCGAGATCGGCTCGGGATTATCGTGAGTCGTGAAAGTGTAAAGGTGATGTGCGGAGGTTTGGGGGTCGTAAAATCGAGTCGGCACGGCTGGCTGCCCGCTAGCGAGAGTGGACAGCAGGATGGGCTAGGGCAAGATGGTCGATAGTACAGTAGAACTTCAGCGGGCGCACCAAACCAAGGGACCCGTTCAAAAAGCAACCCAGTGAGCACGGCGTCGTCCTGTACTCGCCCACGAGCTATCTACAGCCCTTTTTTTGCCTCGACCGCATCTGTTTGTATCGCATTCCTGTCTTGTGCGCCCGTCCAGCACGTGCAGCCAAACAGTCGATAACGAAACTGACGCGTTCCAACGCGCTCGTTTTCGCTCTAGGCCCGATCCGAAGCCCACTGGGCCCGTGCCGGCCTACCTGGCCGGCCCCTGCATACACGCCTTGTTTTCTGCAAGTACGAACACCTGTCACCACTTTTCCATCCAGTGTCCCGCTGCCACTCTTTGGCAGTGCATAACGGCCGGTTCCCGCTCATTTGCTTTTGGGTTTTCATCATTTCTGCATACCACCTTGTATGCATTTCTCTGCTCAACAAGCCACGCACGCTGCCGATGAGGCGAGTGGCCAACAGCTGTGAACAACTCGCCAGGCGTGCATCACACTCGACCATTACTACGCTGCACTACTTCCATTCGCTGCCACTCTACACCATGCTCCACAGTGGGGCTCAGCCTACTGCACTCTTCAACACGGCATTCGCTACACGAGTCGCTTTTTCCTAATGCTAAAATCTTGCTCATGTCATGGTTCTGTAGTACGTGTTCCTCGTTGTCAACCATCAACGTCCATGACCGCTTCATTGGCCTGCATTCGAATTCTACCTCGACGTTGGCAAGCGAGACCGCATTTCCCACCCGTCAGGCGGTTAGAGTTTCCAGCCGTTAGTTGTATCCGCGCTTGGCTGCCAGGACGGCCTGGATCAGCTGCACCTCATCACGCACCAATAGTATCCAGGTTACATGTGTCTCGCCGAATTCGGTAGTGCATGTTCCGGCCCTCATTTTTTGATTGGCCGCATTTCACTTTCCTGAAGCTGATGACTCAATGTGGTCTGAACACCAGCACGAGGCCTAACTTTGCCGCCTGTTCTAGAAAGACCGGAAGCTCCGCCTCCTACTCTGAGCATCTTTAATAGCCCATAGCCGGAGAATCAATACACTTTGGTCACAGCACAGCACACATACGCCTCCGACTAAGCCTCATTCGATGACTACACATGCTCGCCAACACAGATAGGAACAAAACCTCTATCGCGATACTTTAGCATTGGCTTGATATTTTGACAGGCGCAAGAGGTTCGCTGGCGTTATGTGGGGGACCTGATGCAGCTTCAAGCCACTGCCGATGCACACCTCGCATCCCTTACCTGCGCATCCGCGCTGGCCGAATACTGCACATACTATGCTGCATTAGACCTGTATGGCGGCTGCCGCATCATCACCTTCTCCGAGTACTTCACGTACTAGACCTTCTCTCAGCGATACCTCGACGTTGCTGAACTAAGTTCCCTGGTAGATTGGTAGACCGTCCAGCTATGACGTACGTTTTCTCCTACACCGCGATCTGGACCTTCTACGCCTGAATCAGATCCACTTTTCTTTTTTGGTTGGCAGAAAGGTGATTAATGCGCGAACAACACATTGACACCAGCTGGTAGAATACAAGGTCCTAAATACGCATGGGGACTGGCGTGTGTCGTCCACGATCGCGGGTCTCCAACCCGACTGATAGTACTTCCGCCCCTTCCGATTCCAAGCTAGATCGTACGTCGTCACCTCTGGCTGCATGATGTCGACCATAGCTGCGGGAAAGTATTACGGCCTTCTAGCTTGTCTCCTCTGTTGATCTGTTGAACTGCGACAGCTGTCCAAGTTCGTCACCTGACATGTTTGCACAACAAGGTTCTTACTAAATCTGTTAGTACTCTAACCAGATGATCAAGTCTACCACTGTCCTCCGACTCTCCTGCTCGTCCCGGCCGGTCGCTATATGCACGTTCTCAACCTACACAAAGGACTACAAAACATGTCACTTGAAGCAAAGAGGGTCAAAAAGGTGGGTGAACGCTTGTTGCTCGTCATATGGTATTGTTCATTCAGGTCGTGACAATCAATACTGATCAATCCCAACTAATCCCAAGTCTCTCTATCCTACAACTCATGTCCAATCCTTTTCAAATCGACTCCCATATCGAGTCTCGCATATCTAGAATCCCACTCTAATCTCTCAAGCCTAAAACTCGTGTCTAGTTTCTTCAAGTCGCAGCGTATTAGTTAAGACCAAGGGCCTTGGCAACATCCGCATCCGAAACTCCTGCGCTGGCAAGAAGTTTAGAGATTCCGTCGGCCGAAGCTTTGGCGCCAGCGTTTGCACCATCGGCCTTTTGTGCAGCCTTTGCTGCTGCCTCGGCGGCGGCATTGGCGTTGGAGGCGTTGGCGGCGGCAGGATCAGCGGCACACTGAGCGGCGGCATCCTGTGCGCCAGCATCCTCAGCAGCAGCAGCATCCCCAGCGGCAGCATCCTCAGCGTTGCCCTTGTTGTTGGCACCCTTTGCGGCAGCGTCTGCAGTGTTGTTGGCTGCACCAGCAGCAGCGGCACCACCGGCTGATATAGCCGCAAGCTCGTCTGCGGAAAGATCATCTACACGAAGCTTGAGAGTATTGATACATCCAGCAGCATCGTCGGCGTCATCGCAGGTGTTACCGGCACCAGTAGGGTCACCGATCTCGCCAGGGGCGAAGGTTGAAGCCTCGTTGGCCATCGTAACGTCACCGCCGATGGCAGCGATCTGTTCTCCAAGAGTGGTAGCAATTTGCTTGTTGAGTGCCGCAGCTCCGTCGGAAGCAGGGTCCTGATGCTGTTGGAGGGCAGCGATCTCGGGGTTGACGGCCTTGATGGACTCGCAAGCGGCAGAGGCAAGACCGACAGAGCCAGTGTTGCGTTCCAGGGCACGGTAAACCAAAGCCATGGTCATACCCTCAACATCGTTAGCCGCCTTTGCGTTGGTGAAAGCCTGATCAGCAATGGCTTGCTGGAGACAGTCGGTATCCTTGATGTTTCCAGCACCCTCTGCAGCTGCCTTAGCGCCGAGAAGACCGAAGACAGTGTTCGTAATCTTGTCGGGGTTGTCCAACTCCAACGAGGTCTGGACAGCACGGAGGACGTTCTCGTGGGCATGCTCCTGGGGAACCTCACGCTTGGCGATGGTCTTGAATGGGGCGGCAGCCGCGGCACCAATGAGGGTAATGGCGATGAATGAAGTCTTCATGATGAAAGTTGAAGTGGTGGTGAATAAAATAAAGGTTAAAAGACGGTATGAAGTGTGTTAATGGGCCGGCCTATCGATTCTCCAGGAACGATGAAAAGAAGGTATATGGACAATGAGCGAAAGGCTTATGGATGAAGTTGATGATATTCTTCAAGGCAGCGCAGGCAAGTAGGCCTTATATACAACCTAACTTTGCTTTCAGTCTGCAGAGCTTCTAGCCTGACACATGTCAGGCACGTCTTCAACCTGCCAAACGTGCCTGCACTGCGGGAGCCGCCGAAGTTCTGAGCATATGTGGAGACTGAGGCGCATGAAGGCAGCCCCTGGAAGGTGGACGTCATGTCAAGGTGTTGCTCTGCAGCCTCGCGAGGCTGGCAGCGGCTCCCTGGCCACGTGAGGAACGATGGGCTCGGTTAGAGAGCGGATGTGGTTGGTCTAGGCACGCTAAGGATCGCAGTTGCCTTCCTGAGACACCGTCGAGCAATCGGCCACACTCCGGAGACATGTTTTGCTTCACGATGCGACGTGCTTCAGCTCGACTTCCCGCGCTGCAAAAACTGCGCATCAATCTTCTAGAACGATATCCCATTGAGCTATTATCCTGACCGAGTCGATCGGCGTTTCCAAGATCGCGTGTAGCTCACGCCGCCATACGGGCAGGTGACATGAGAGAGCCAAGGAAGACGGCCGTCAAACGCCAAACGAGTACAATGCCATCCTTTGCTCTTCTTTCGACATGCGCTGTGTTGTAAACAAGACTAGTTGATTTGGAATGACCTCTTGCCATACATGGAGACGTTTCCGCCTCCTTCAGCTTCATCTACAAGCTCAAGGTACGATACATTGTGGCACATCCAGGACGCTGATCTTCGTTCTCTTGTTTGCGGCATAGCACTGCAAATATCACGGCAGACGCGCTCTGTGTATCATAGGAGCGCTGTTCCAATAAGCAAGAATGCTATGAGATGATTATAGACCGGCTATCGACACCCAGGTACGGTCAATCACCGAGCGCGATGCCTTGATATGCGGAACTTGATGGTTCCGACTAGTGATGGGTAGCGCGACTATACCCTAACAAGAAGGATTGGAACTTGAAGAGCGGTCGGTCATGTGCGTAGCGCTATGGGAACCCCTGCGTAATCTTGTACTGCTCACGGGTCAAACGGTTTCCGCACACAGACGGCAGGCGTCTCATACAGCACAATCCAGTGCGAAAGTTTTGTCTCCATGACTTAGTCACACATCCAACGAGGCCCGGGACGACTACAGGGGCCATATCAAGTTCCAGAGTTGTTATTGCGTATGTAGTCTCCTCTGGATGTCAGATAAGACGTCTTCTACTCGTGTTGTAGATGACAGCTCTCTACCATCCACGATTTCTAATGTGACATTTATCAACTTTACTGCCTCTCAAAGCTTGCCACTGAATCTCCAAGAGTGTTGCATGCTCCGCACCCATACCTTTTACTCGGGAAGGATTACAGCTACTCGAAACCTACTACGTTACCCGCGAATCTGCTTTGCCCAGACATCTCCCGGCCCAGACCTCGTCGCCAACTCCATATTGCAAAATTCGGCAAATTCGTAATCATGCCCAAGACAAAGGCTATCGTGATATCTGGTCCAATGGACGCCAGACATGTCGGCGGTGTCAATTTATTGGGCAACGGCTCCTCGGGCTTTAGTCATTACTTCAATAATGCTACGATACAGCAAGATGAACGACCCTCGCATGCGTTTGCTACATCTGGGAAAATAGAAGTACCGAAACGATCAGATACGATGAACAGTCCGATACGCCGACCCAGCCTTCACTTCAAAGCAAGTTTTTCCATGCTAGGCCGCCAGTCTTCCGTACGTCAACCAGACGAAACAGAAAAGTCCGATAGCGAGAGCGTTCATAGGTCTTTAAGAATGAAGTCGAGTATGTCCCGACTACGACAAAGAGTCGGACTAGAATCGTATGACACTGTCAAGACGCCCTCTCCAGAGCCATCTCTCAAACCTGAAGCGACACAGATGTACGCTCCGCTGCGACAAGACTGGAATGAACCAGCTCATCTTACTGCCTTGCCTGTTTACACCCCTATCAAGGATGTGCGGTCAGCCAGCACCAGTGCTTCGCCTCCACGAAAGCCTCTTGTTCAAAGACGGCCTTCTTTACCTTTCAAAAGCCAGTCGCAGGATGTAAACGCACGCCCTGCTCAGCCCCCTGCCCGCCAGCACCGCGCTGACTCTGGCACCGCCATTGACTTCAGAGACGTACCTGTCAAGGAACGACCAGTTCCTTTCAAAGAAATCATGGCGGTATCAAGCCACGCCGAGCGTATGGCCTTGTACAAGAAGACGCGCGACTACTGGGCCACAGTAGACCACGGGCTAGCCGCATGGACGGAATATGCAGGAAGATCAAGGACAGTTGTTATGCAATAACGATGGTGAGGAGGAGCAGTGTTTTTTTTCTTCCATTCTTTCATGTTACATAGCCCTCTCTGATACCCAGTTTCGATCGCTTATAAATATGTATATATCACTTACTCTAATAATCCAAGGCACTGGCCGCTTATGTCCCTCCACCCCAGATGCGCTACATGTTCCGTACGGTAGAGAGGCCCTGGTTCCCGTGATTGAACCGTGCTGGACACGAGCGAGGCTGATCTTAGTACTGAGTGGGATATAGATGTATAAATATGTAATACGTGGGAGGTTTGGGAAAGGGCGTACCCTTGTGGTATATCTGACTGGGTCTTCGGGACTGCTTGTTTACTAATTTGGAAACTGGTTACTTACTCTATCTCGAACTGATCTCCGGTGTGCGGGATGTAGATCACACAGTTTCGACACGCGGGGGCTAGGTTCGCCGTTCGTACGGTACTGAAATGACGGTAGACGGTGTGCCATGGGGCGTGGGATTGTTTTTGGGGGGGTTAACCGCGCGGTTGTTGCTGCACTGTCTCACGTGTGGAGTATGTCTGCGGCTTTGACAGCGAACAAGATGCCAAGGCCTCGTACAGTGACATCTCGTAGCAAACATCTGAGATGCTACCTAGATCTCGGCTATATCAAATCATTACCTTGCCGATCATCTGCTGACAGAGATACGATCTTAGTCTCAGGCAACTTTCCGGTACCGAAACTTGGAGCTTTCAGGCTGCCGAAACACTGTCTCCATTCGACTTGACTCATACCTGAGGCCGAGCGGACCTTTACCTCAGGCTCAAACCTAAGAGCTGGCTATAATCCACTGTGTATATTGTTTTTTTATGTGATGTCGTGGGCCGAGATGGATGCGGAGGATTGCGAGGGGAGGGCTATCAAACGCTTCTGGAACTCGAGGGCTTAGCCGGTGTCATGTTGACTCAGTAGCTTTTCTCCTCATGACTCTTCGTTAAGTACTGAGATTTTATTCTTATGGATTGACGGCCTTGTTCGCTCAGTAGGCTTTTTGCATCCGCTTCTGTGTTATGTGTGTATCGTGGGTGTACGTGCGCTGGGAGTGAATGTCGGCACTGCTACATGTATCAACATCGGCTCGTATTTTCACGTGACCCGACGCTTTAGAGCTGCACATATGACGGAGTATGACGGATAGTCTAGTTTTTAGTAGGGCGTATACATTGAACGTGCAGTGCCTCTTGTGGTTGTTTGCGCAGGTTGCTGCATGACAGAAGTATAATCAACCTACTAACCTTGCCGCCACAATTTGTGCATCATGGCGGTCCGCTGACTGTTTTCTGTGCATCCATTGACAAATAGAGAATACCTAACGTGGCGTACAAAACAAATATTGTTGGTCTGGGGTAGTTCTCGAAGTTCTGCCCCGCCACATGCGTGCTAGTCCAGAAAATGAGGTCAGTGCCAACGTAGGAGCCGAGCCGAGATGCGTCTCCAAACCTCCTCCCGCGCCTGCCAAATCTCCACGTACACCTGTTCATTGTGAGCTATCGACGCAATGGCAGACTTCGTCAAGGGTCTCTTCGGTGCGCAGAAGCCTATACAGGCTCCAGTTGCAGGCGATGACGGTACGTAGCCACCGCAATGGACGTGCGATTGGCAACTCCGGCGATTGCGGCGTTGTCCAAAATAATCGCGTGCCCTTGCTAACAACACCATCAGACTTCGCCGACTATGCGGGTGCTCCTCAGCCCACGCCGGCTGCCAACCCAGACTTCACTGCTGTCACCGGCGCGGCACAGGCGGCTCCTACGGCCATGGGCACCAGCCGACCGTACACGGCATGGTACCGTATATGGGAGCGCACAACGGTAGATGACTTCAAGCTGGAGATGTACATCTTGCCCTTCCTCTTCCTTCTCGTCGTCGTTCACGTCTGGGGCACCAAGACCAACCGCAAGAAGGCCAAGTCATGGATGAAGGCCCACGCGCCCGTCCTCGGCAACGAGTTTGTTCAAGTCGGCTATACGGTTCCGCGAGAGGGCGTGACTCCTTCTGTGGACAGTATGATCAAGGAGAAGAAGCCCGACGAATTCCAGACATATGCGACCGGACGCCAGAACGTCGCCTTTGTCGACGTCAAGTTGACTCTTTACAAGCGCTTCAGTCCCTTTATGTGGTTGAGCGAAGCCATGCTTCCCCTGTTCTTCGAGAGCTTCGCTCCCCCCACGGAGCGCATCGAGGCTACCGCATACGCTTTCGATGGTCGTGAGACTAAGTTTGCGCCTGCGTATGGCCAGGGCGACGCGAAGAAGGTCGCCAACAGCGCTTACGATGGATTCGTTTTCGCTGTTGTACACAAGGATATCATGAAGCGCATGCGCGATGAGCGCTACGATCTGTCTCTGACTACAACTCGCGACCACGCCAAGTTGCCTGTCTGGACTACGGTTATGAGCGAGAGCGCAGAGGTCACCGACATGCTCCTTACCCCTGAGCTCATCAAGGCTGTTAATGACGCTGGTGACAACTTCGAGGCCATCATTGTTAGCGACCAGCCGATGAACGCGCCCAAGACGTAAGTTCAACAATAATCTGGATAAATTATATGTGAGCCCTGCTAACAGCCTTCAGTCTTGACGAAACCAAGCCTCGCAAGCGTCTCAGCCTTTCCCTGAAGTTCGCCTCAGACTACTCCGCTACCCTCCCCATCTTCCAGTACTTCCTCCGCCTCCCCGACCAACTCGCTTCCGCGGGACATTTCCGTCCTGAAGCCCTCCGCCGCATCAAGCAGACGCGCGATGAGCAGATTGCTAAGATCCGCAAGGCAGAAGACGAGGAGAAGGCCGAGGAAAGGAAGCTGGCAGCAGACAAATTGAAGAAGGAGCAGAGGGATGCAAAGTTGGGCAGACTGAGTGCGGAAGAGCAGCGCAAGTTTTTGGAAAAGGAGCGCGAGAAGAACGCACGCAAGGGCATGAAGAGGAGTACTGTCAAGGCGTAGGCAGATGTACGAATTGGATGGACTTGGGACGGATCGAGGATTGGAGGGTTGGATTGGATCATAATGGGTTGGTCTTCTCGGTGTTTTACGATAGTGCACGCTGCATGATTGTACAATATAACAAGAGACGAAAGGGGACATGTAGGAAATTAGTGTTAATTCATCATTTCATATGCTACGTTTGAGCTTTACCTTAGTTCATGCCAACAATCGGCTCAGCCGTCTCTGCAATTATCATCGTGAACCTCAAAGTCTTTCCCTTGACACAAACATTACAACATCCAGCGCCTACTAATGACTGATAACGTCAAGTGTTGGGAACTACCCAGCCTCTTCTTCCAGAAGAGAAGGGACCAAAGGTGGCTCTACACATCATATGCCTTTTTCCGCCAACGCAACCGACATGAGCCACCGGTATACGCCGCAGTCTCTAAAGCCTCTGGAACGGTGGTGACAGACGAAGAGGACGCAGCAGCTACTACTACCCTAGGGGGAGCGCCTACTGGCTGCATAGGCTGCGAGGAGTACGGAGCCCGGTGCGGTTGGGCGGTGGAATTGCTTGTGGACTGTGAGGTAGTAGGTTCCAGTGACTGCGAGGCAAAAGGCTCCAAGGACTGCGAGGTAGTAGGCTCCAAGTATTGCGACGATGCAGCAGCAGCTCCAGGCTGTTGTCCATTTGGTGCCGGTACGGAAGACTCTTTCACAGACCAGTTTGGGTTCACATACCCGGGGTCGGGTTTGAAAGTGGCGTCAAACGGGGAGTTGGGGGAGGGTTGAGTAGTAACCGCGGTAGGTGTCGAGATGGCGATCGAGATGATTTCGAGAGCTGGAGATTGGATGATAGTGGTAGTCGGGATAGCAACCTCGAAGCTTACTGCGATGGCCATGGTGTTGGTCATAACGAGTGCTGTAGTAGTGGATGATAGACCAACATCCTCGGGCTGTACATCTACCGGTTCGTCGCCATTGCAGTCAGGAGGAGAACCCGGAGTAGTGACGTAGTCACCCGCAGGCCCGTTTGGTGTGCCGTCTACCCAGACAATACTGTAAGGGCCATCTGAGGATTGAGCAGCGGTCGACGGGCCCTCAGAAGATGTTGATCCGGAAGGTGGTGACGAGTATCGGAGGCCTGTTTCTTGTGGTGTATTTCCCGTCATTGTCGAATCGGGAGTTACACCAGAAGGCAAATTGCCAGTGGTACGCTGAAGCTTTGCAACCTCCTGAGCCATACGCGTCAAATGTGTCCAACCCGCACTATCCTCACCCAGACTCCACGCCATAACACCACCGAGACGATACTTCTTGACAATATCCTCGAACTTCCTCGAGATGAGGTCCGGCGTATCCCAGGTCCAAAATAACCGGTTCTCAGCATCAAAGTAGTATTGTCCACCAGCTTGCTGATCAGTAACACCATTCTTAACAGCGCGCTGCCAGGACCCAGCTACGTCGGCGTCAGTGCAGCCTGTACCAAAGGCGTGCTGGCAACCGCCACTGCAGTGTTCTGGAGAAGTGCCGCAGTTCCCGTACTGCGAGCAGCAGCCTGTGGCGCATTTAGTGTTCTTCTCGGGACCACAGGTGCCATCGTAGGATATGGTGATTGAGGAGAGATTGACGGGTTCCATGTGAGCGGGTTCGAAGGTGTAGGCGCCTGAGGTGAGTAAATCTTTGCCAGTGACGGGGTCTTCGGCCAGGGCAATGGGGCAGCCGAGGGGGTGGGCACTGCAGTCGCCTTGGGTAGTGAAGTACTTTGCGTAGTACGCGAACCCGAGGTTGATCTTCTGGGGTGGAGCACCTATGGCAAGGTAGTTTCTAATCGTCTGTTCTGACTCGGCTACGGAGGTGTGATGATGAGTTACGCTGTCACGGCGGTTCATCAGATCGTAACTCATGACGTTGATGTAATCGACAGACGGCCAAATTAGAGGACCAGTCGTACTTGTGTAAGCGATCATGTCCTCGCTCTTTCCTGGTACAGCGATTGAGAGCAATTTGTCGCCGATGGCTGTGCGGATAGCCTCCAGAACCTTTGGGAAAGCAGTGATTTGGTAGAGCTTGTCGCTGTTAGGGACTTTCTTGTAATTGGCACCGTTTCCTCCTGGGTACTCCCAATCGATGTCGACACCGTCAGCGCCAGTGTTCTTCAACATTGCGGCAACATCTGCTGCGAACGTCTGGATTGCCGCATCGCTGCTGGACACTTGCGCGAAGCCGACATCATCACCCCATCCGCCAACAGCCATCATCATCTTCGCGCCAGGGAACTCAGACCGAAGCGTTGAGATGGGGACTTTGGGTTGGAAACCAGCCGTTGCGTTGGCCATAGCGAAAGCGACAACGACATGATCGACACCAGCTCGGACTTGTGGTTCAGTGGGACGTGTTGGGTGCCACCTGTTCGTGTCAGTAGTGATTTGTTTTGGAAAGAGCTGATTACTTACTCGTCTGCGTATACCACGAGCCGAGCACTTGCTGTTGTAGCGAGGGTGGCAAGTGCGAGAAGCGCCGTTGAAAAGAAACGCATGTTTGGGACAGTTGCTTCTGAAGGAGTGGAGGGGCAAGTAGAGGTGTAGGAGAAAGAGTCTAGATTGTGAAAACAAGCAAAACATACAACGGGTAGCAAGCACGTGGGCAGTGTGCCTTGCGTGACGCACTGGAATGAAAGCGAGCGCAACCAATTACCAAAATCCCTGATCAAATCATGGACCCTGGAGCTTCCGACTGAGCAATGTAATGACGTACCAATTCTCTAATATAGTAACTACGTATGTCCAACTGAGACATATGTTTGACTGACAGATGTCGTTCCGATAAGGGATAGTGGTCTGGTGTAGGGGTGAAAGAAATGTATTGATGATTCCGCGTGACCTCAGGAATGTGCTGTCACGACGACCACAAGACTACGATAAGGCCATAAAAGGGCGCATGTCGCCTCTTTTGCGATTGTTTTATGTATGCAAGAGGGCTTTCCGCAGTTCTGGACAAACTTGTGCAACATCAGATGCTTGCGTATGTCCATCCATACAGCCATACGAGATGACAGCCCAGGGAGCTCTTTCCGTGCCAGGTCTAGAAATAAGATCAAGGCCGGCCAATGCTACTCCTCCCCCTTTTCTCCACCTTGTTCTTGTGCGTGTAGATGCTGGCGCTGGATATGATTCTGGCCTGAAGAGATGGATGTGACTGACAACGAAAGAGACTGATGGTGGAAAGCAGACAAAGATATTTGAAATTCGTCCAGGCTTCGGCAGTCGAAGAGGGGAGGCGCGCTCCTGAGGTGCTGTAATTGCTCTTTCCCGCCTTCAGCAGCCGCGACACACCACACCACTCCTAGGGAAAGTGTTGATCGCATTTTGGGCAGCCACATCCGTTCTTTCCTACGGTTCACCGGTTGTGACGCCTCCAACTTTAAACGTCTCCGGCTCTTGTGCGATTCTAGGCCAGTCGTCCTGCAGTCCACGTCACTTCCACTACTCTTCAGGGATACGCATCACCATTCAAAGCCCAATGTAATGGGTACATCACACACATACGACCGCAAACAGAATGGAATAGACGAAAAGAGGAGTCAATGTAGGGGGGGAGAGATGGATATATGTACATGACAATAAGGCCAAAGGTCACGTGACGTGATGGTCACCTAGGCACTCAGAAGACGTTGATTGACGCAAGGTGTGTCTCACATTCTTCCAACACGCTACACGGATTACTTTCCTTAGGGCAATGCAAGGGTGGAAGAAGGCATATTGGAGGGCAGTGGAGCAATGCCAATCATCAAGCTCTCCACAATCACGAAACTGCAGCTGCAGCACGAACTGCATATCAGACGCGGACTCGTGGGGACGGGCGATAATGCGGCCGTTGGGAACCACGGTTCCCAGGCGAGAAGTCCATTGACGAGCCCAACAGCCAACAACAAGCAACAACAACAACATGGGCAGGCGCGCCCAATGCACGCTCCATGCACCGGTGGGACGCGATGGAGAAAGCGGCTAGCACGTGATAGTCCGGCGGATCCGTGATCATCATCAGCCCACCGGCGCCATGGCTTTTTCGGGCGGCAGCAATATGGAGCATTGGCCAATCATGGCGCAGGTTAAATTAGGTGGCTGGGTAAAAACTGGGGAGCTCTCCAAGCTATCAACCGCTTCGCCGAGGGATGCATGGATAAGCTCAGCTGAAAATGCCTCTTGACGACATACCAACTACCGCATAATGCATGCAAGAGCTGGCCTACTCCAATTGCAACCTTCCACGCAAGCCAGAGTCGGACGAGTCGGACGACTCTCCCTGTAAAAAGGTCGTCGAGCTGCAGCTAGCTCGGGTCAGGCTCCCCGGCAGGCGTGAGAAGCTTCGATCTGATTTGTGAGGCGATTGCGACACGGAATGACTGCCATCGTCGGGTCAACAGCCGTCCTGAGCCCAATTGCGCGTCAATAAGTTGCCTCGGCGCGAAATACGACGTGACATGCGGAGTTGGCTGGGGTGTGTCCGTCCGTGGCGCAAACTGAAAGGAGAAAGTGATACGCGCTACTGCTCCATGTCAATAACGCTAGACCCCGCCTGGACAGCTCTGCCAAAGCTTCCCAGCCTTCAGAACCCTGCGATCAGGCAAACGCCGACACAACAGTGATCCCACAGACCGCCAATCTACTTCAGCCCCCTCTTCGGTCATCGTGAACTACCTCACTCCTCCACCGATACACCCCGCTACTACGTCCAATTGCGCATAATCACTTGCCGCACTTCAACACCAAAAAGCTGGCGACTCTTCAGTAGATCTTCAACTCCAATTATCTCCACGTGAGACCCTAAAGGAGCCAAGAAGTTCTTTTCTTGATTCCTTTCGAATTGTTTTAAACAGTTCGAAGGGTTTTCGAGAAAGAGCGACCCGACTCCGCCAAACTGGATTTTGAAGCACGAGTAAGTCTTGACTTGTAGGGCTGTGAATAAGTAATTTGTGCTGATATGAACAGGTTCCGATCCCCTTCAGTGTCTTCCCGTCTGCGTATCGGAACGCGGAATTGAAGGACTCTGCCAGTGTTCAAGTAGTAGAAAACGAAGCGCATTTTGAACATCAGGCTTTACACGGACGGGAAGGTCACGAAGAGGTCCACGAATCCTTTTCTGCTACCGTCCAGCAACCCCCTCCACCTACGCCTCAACAGGAACAGCACCACGACGTTCACATCAAGGAAGAGGTTCACATCCACGAAGAAGAGCGCCTAGGTGGTTCCCAGCACGGCTCCCAGTACCAGAAGACTCCCCAGCTTCCTCAGCAACTTTCTCCAAGGCCCTCTCCAAAGCCCTCTCAACACCGTGAAGAAGTCCGTGTCCACGAGCACACTAGCTACAGACATCCTCAACAAGCTACTCCTCAGCAGCACCGTGAAGAGATCCATATTCACGAGGAAACTCGCTACAGACAGCCTCAGCAAGCCTCTCCTCAGCAACAGCGTGAAGAAATCCATATTCACGAGGAAACTCGCTACAGGCAGCCTCAGCAGCACCAGCAGCCCCAGCAGCAGCGTGAGGAAATCCGCATCCACGAAGAAACCCGGTACAGACAACCTCAGGGAGCCCAGCCTCTCCCCCAGCCGGCCCAGCCTCACTCTCACCACGCTCAGCGTACTGACCGCGTAACTGACCGCGTAGAGTTTGAACGATCCCACGACCGGTAAGTCCGCTCCATTGTTTTTTGCCAGCACATTCGCACGGATCAACTAAACAGACCCATCCCCAACCCCCTGACTTTAGCGCATGCCAGCCACGCGCTAGGCGCTAGCCCCTTTCATTTGTTGTTGTCCTAGCGACATGCAGTCTCCACTTTTCTCTCACCTCCTCTAAGCTCTTCCTTGCCCGACCCCAAGCTGACCTTCCTTCTCCCTTCAGTTATCAACCCCAACCCTCCTCATCTCACACTCAAGTCGAGGTTCAAGACCGAACCTACGATAGACACTTCGACACAGTCCACGGCCCTGCCACCGACTACGCACCTACTCAAATCGACGTTACTGAACATCAGTTTCGCGAACGCACTCGTCCCATCGTCGCCGGTGCTGGTTATCCCAAGGAGACCTTCATCACCAAGCACAACACCTACCCTAACAATAGGGCGGTTGACAGTGTTGACAAGAACTACCCAGCCGAGGTCCGAGTAGAACAATCTGCTCGTTCCACTGCGCAAGCCCCCAAGAAGTTCAAGCGTGATATGGGATATTACGACAACGAAGGCCAATACCACAGTCTACGTCAAGGAATCTCCAAAGCCGCCCACAAGGTAGCAGACCGCGTCCAACACCCCATCCACCCTCACCGCCACCAACACTCTCACCACAAGTCCTTTGCCGGTGCTCAGTACGACGACCAGCGCGAAGAGATAGTCGTTAAGGAGAAGTACACTACCGCTACTCCTTCCGTCGCCCCCAGCCGTCCCGTTCAATCAGGTGCTCCTGTCGAAAGGGTCGTTCGCATCCACTCTTCCCCTTCAGCCCCCTCAGCCCCAGCTAGATCGTCAGTCTCTGTCGCATCTGCTCCTGCTCCTGCTCCTGCTGCTTCTCGCGCATCAGCTCACGCTCCCGCTCCTACCAAAGCCCCCACTTCTGCCTCTATCGCACCCTCAGCAGCTCCCGCTCGCCCCGTACGCAAGATGGCTTCCAAGACTATCACTATCCCCTGCCACCACATCCGCATTGGCGATCTCCTGATCCTTCAGGGCCGCCCTTGCCAGGTCATCCGCATCACCACCTCCTCCCAGACTGGCCAGCACCGCTACCTCGGTGTTGACCTCTTCACCAAGCAGCTCCATGAGGAGTCTAGCTTCATCTCCAACCCGGCCCCCTCCGTTGTTGTCCAGAACATGCTTGGTCCTGTCTTCAAGCAGTACCGTGTTCTCGACATCCGTGAGGACGGTCGCGTCGTCGCCATGACCGAGTCTGGCGATGTCAAGCAGGGCCTTCCCGTCCTTGACCAGAGCGGTCTCCACACCCGCCTCAGCGAGTCTTTCGACAACGGCCGAGGCAGTGTCCGCATCCTCGTCATCGAGGATGACGGTATGGAGATGGCTGTCGACTACAAGGTCGTCCACGGTTCCAGGTTGTAGAAACCTCATGTCAACGGTAAGCAATACCCATCATCGCCTTGTCGTCGGACATCATCTAACAATGTCCAGGTCTCATTCAAACGTACGATAATCAAAACTCTCAGGCGTTTGCTTACCCACGGCCACTCATCTTATCAACTGTGTTCATAACTTTTGCATGGTCACTAGGCTGGTAGCATTGAGCTTCTCCTTGCTCATTGGTAGGCGTTTACTCGCTTCTGGTGTTCATGGTGTCGCGCGGTCTACTTGTCGGAGTGATGGAAATATCGGAGCTACATCTGTGGATAGTTAATGAATTGCGTCTCCTTCATCTCATGCTCATGCCTGTGCTCAACTGTGATCGTGTCTTGTGTCTTCGTATACGTTCCTCGTTGTACCTATCCTCTCATGACCATGTATCTCGCTAAGTCCCAGACCCATCGTTGCCGCTACCACCCGAGCCTACCCCGCCTTCTCCACGTCTCTCCACTCTAGTACTGGAGGCCCTGTTATATCCGTTCCCTGTCGTTCGTCTCATGTATGTATAGTTCGCGCCTCCTTGCATTACTAGTATAGCATAAAACGTTGACAGCTACTTGCCATGCCTCACTCAGATCGCTCCCCGTCTCCAACACGCGATACCTTCCGGGGCCTTCCGCCCTTCCCAGACAACGTCCCCACCGCACCACTTCTCCGCATATCGCTCCAGAAGCTCCTCCAACACGACGAAGAAGAACAGAACCGGTGTTGGAAAGCTTGTTGCGAACTGGGTTTCTTCTACCTCGATGTGCGCAATGCGAACACACCGCCTAGAAGCACCAATGGCGACGAGAACGAGTCTGAGCAAGCCATCGACGGCGACGCACTACTCCAAGATGTCGACAACCTCTTCTCAGTCATGAAAGAGTTCTGCAGCCTAGACGTGCAAGAAAAGACAAGATACGACTTCAAAGCACAAGGCACATACTTTGGCTACAAAGGCTACGGCGAAGGCATCATGGACGCAAAAGGGACAAAAGACAGAAATGAATTCTACAACGTATGCCCACTTGCTCCCAATGTCGCATCCATTTCTCTCACTAATCACCACCTCCCAGATCTCAAAAGACGACATCCTCTCCCTCAGCGAACCCCTCCCCGCCCACGCAACCGTTAGCGCCCACCGCCCCCTCTACAAATCCTACATCCAAACTTCCCACGCTATATGCATGCTCATCGCCTCCCTCCTCTCCTCACGCCTCCCCCTCACAGACGCCGCGCGCAAAGCCGGCGGATTACCAGCACTGCACCGTCTGCGCGCCCGTTCCGGGGACCAAATCCGCTTCGTGCGCGCGCCGCCGCAGGAAGTCTCCGTCAAGGGCGTAGCACTGGGCGAACACACAGATTTCGGTAGTGTGACTGTGTTGTTCAACCAGTTAGGTGGTTTACAAGTTCGTCTACCTGCGTCGATAGCGCCCAATCTACCTTTATCAACAGAGCCGCCGCCGACGGAGGTCGAGAGGAGACTTTGTGAAGATGGATGGGCGTATGTGAGACCGCTAGCGGGCCATTGTATAGTCAATCTAGGTGATGCGTTGGTCAAGTTTTCAAACGGTGGGTTCAGGAGTAATGTTCATCGTGTTGTGGCGCCGCCTGGGGAACAGGGGGCCGTGGAGAGGTATAGTTTGGTGTACTTTTGTCGGCCCGAGGATGAGGTTTTGTTGAGGGGGTTGGTGGTGGGTGTGGAGGAAGAGGAGGAGGTTACGGCCAAGGAGTGGATATTAAGGAGGGCATTGGGGCGGAGGGAGAAGGATGGGTGGGAGAAGAGTAACGGGACTGAGAGGAGTAGTATGAGGAGTGGGGGGATGAGGACTTGAGTGATGGATGGGCTGGTAGTATTACTTCGTATTTTCAGTGTGTTACGCCGCCATTGTTCTTGGTTGTCTCTCAGGTTGTCGTGTTAGTGACCGTATAGATTCAAGTCAAAAATACCAAACGTTTCACCTCATACTTTGTCGAACAGCCATATACCACTCTCAATATTCAACAAAAGTTCTCATGGTCTTGAGCACTGGATGCAAAATTCCTACCAAACTCAACTAGATAACCCATCTTTCGACTCACATTTGACACCATTATCGCCCCCTGAACCCACCAATTTTTCCATGTCCTCAACCTCGCAAACTCATTATCGCCGCATGGCCTCCCGCATTCTCTCATGTCATCCTTGATCGAGGTGGAATACATAGCACTAAGCGTTCAACAACAGTCGTCATGGTACTTAAGCACTGGATGCAAAACATTGAGCACATCCCATAACAAGCACAAGATCTATACACGGCAATGCACACGAACAATAAGACTGTTTTCATATAACTAGAATAATGGCTGTTTTTTTTCACAAAGTTTGATACGCTTTGCCCATCGGGCACTACACAACCTAAAGGTTCACAAGTCGCTCAGTCAGAACAAATTGGCGGACGACAACCTACTGCCCCGCCAATTTCTCACCCGTGCTCATCAAACTACCGATAAAGGTGGTGATAAGCCTACTCTGTACTGCAACAATGTCATCTGGCACAAGCCAAATTGTCGCGCCCATCTTTCGCGCAATACTGATAGCCAGCTTAGCGTTCTGGTAGCACTCGTCGTCATTGCGACCAGGAGCGACGAGGTCGTAGTCGACATATGCGGGCTTCATGCCAGCCAGAACATCGAGCAGGAAGATGGCATTGCTGAGAGAAGAATCCTTGAAGGATCGAATCTGGCTGCCCTGGCCGCCCTTGCGTGCCATGTCGTTTGCCCACTTGATCATATCCGCATCGGAGATTTCGCGCTTGCCGAGACGCTGGGCAAGACCATTGAGTGTAGAGACAATGTCTTTGCGCATCAGTTGCCATACGAGACCAAGAGTAAGTGTGCGCTGGCCGTCAGTGATATCAGCTCCCTGGATACCGGGTAACGAGAACTGGACCTGCTTGCCGAGTTCAACGGCGTAGTTGGTGTTCTCGAGAGCCTTGAAGCGCATCAGCTCCTGGCCGTCCCGTGGCTTGTTCACGTGTCGCCAGTTCACACTGCCTGGGATGACCTTGTCATATGCTTGCAGAATGACGGTACCATCCTTAAGATCTTCGTAGAAAGTTTGCACAACCGGCTTAACATCGAGAGAGTTGAGCCACAGGGTAAAGACACGGGCTTCGCGCTCTCCTGCCGCATCAAAGTCGTCGATCTCGGCCTTCTCCTCTTCGGTAATGGGATCAAGGCATGGGTGTGTGTTGAACAGGTTGGCGACGAAGGCCAAGTTGAGCTTCGGGTTGCCGGCTACGAGTGATGAGGGCGTGAGGAACTTGCGGCAGTCGAGGGCATCGGCGTTTTGTAGGACCATCTCAGCGCGTTGGAGGAGATCAGTTTGCTGGAGCGGGGAACGAGAGCAGGTTTCGGGTGCTAGCTGATTAAGGAGGACAGTGTAGTTCTCGCCGTCTTTGACATCTGTTGAGAAGTTGGAGACACTGTACATGTTAGCTATTTCCAGTTCCCTGAAGAAGTACTGGTGGGTTAACATACGTCCTGTGCCACTTGGCGTTCTTCAGGTGGTAATTGAACCACCTCAGCAGGATCTGCTCCGGGGGCAGGCGCAGGAACTGCTCCAATGTCTCGTCGTCTAGGAGTAGCCTGTAGAGCTCAGGATGTAGCTTGATATCGATCTTTCCTAGCAGACCTCTCCTGATGATCTGCCAGATCAGACCCAGAATTAAATGCTCTCGCACTTCAATGATGTCTCCGCTGCCAATGTTGACGACTGAGCATCCGATACCCTTGGCAGACTGAATGACAATGTTGTTGTTTTCAGTAAAGTGGAAGTTGTTCAGCGACTTGATCTTCTTGCCGGGCTTGTTCAGTACACGCTCATCAATGGTATCTGGTACGCTGTCGTTGATGAGCTTGGACAGCACCAGACCGTCTTTGCAAGCATCGAACATCTCGAATGTGTCGGTAGGGAAGGGCAGACGATCACCAATGTCTGGGTCGCCAGCGAGGACAGCATTGATATGGCGGGTAAACTCTGTTCGCTCATCTTCGTTGATAGTGTGGGTAACGTTTGCAGAAGAGCCCTGGACTTGAATCCTGCCACCACCACCAATGCTGTTCTTGGAGGAGTGTCCAGGATTTGATGGCGAGTTGACGCTGGAAGCGGTGCCGGCTCGGGGGCGGGTTGGGCCCGTAGACATGCGCTGCTGAGCGGGGGACGAGACACGCAGTTTGGAAATGAGCTGTTGCTGTCAGTTTCGTCCGGTCAGCCCAAGCCGGGTGATACGCACATCGACATAATCGTCCAGCTCTACTCTCCGTGAACTGTCGAGCTCGACCTCTTTCAGGGCTTGTCGCACGACATCGTACGGCTGGTGCTCCGACTGCTGCGCAGCCTTGATGACGGTGCTCTCGTCGAGGTAGCCCTTGTCGTCGACGTCGAGCCTACGGAAGGCATCCTGCAGGCCGAAAATCTCACCCTGCTCGAATTGAGGGTATTTCCTGTTCGTAATGCGCGGTTAGCTTCCGTGGAACCGCGAGGATGTGGATAGAAGAGCCACAGGCCATACGTACTTTTGCAGCTTGATGATGTTCATGTTGGCGAATTCTGCTCAAGACAGGAACAGGCGGGAGCGAGTACAAAGAAAAAGGATATGCTAAGCGGCAAAACGACTGCCTGGCTCAGCCTCGTTCTTGGGTTGCGCGTTCGACGGCTTCGTGCCTCTGTTTTGCTTACCCGATGACGACGTGGGGCGGTTGCCAAGACGGGCCAGTCGAGGGGCAGTTACAACCTGCAACCTGCACTCTGCCGCCTACCACTTGCTCCCGGATTACGTACGCACGTCACATCCGCTCCCTGCATTAGGCTGCCTTCACTGCTGTTGTCTTCTTCTGCACTCCCAGGGCGTATTCTCGAGTACCAAGTAACCTCTTGCCCGTACTGGTTTCCTTGGGAGCGCAATGGCCTCTAATTGCGTCGCCAACGTGCCCGAAGCGACAACGCCCAACCCACTCCATGGGTCCCCAGCTTGGGTAGCGGTGACTTTCATTGCCACATCACCGGCCACTAGAGCTGTCATTAGTTTGTACATGCACAAATCCAGAACACAACGCCAACAGTTTGTGCCATGGACCCGACTGAATGCTGTACAACATGGCACTTTTCCTTCCTTCGACCCACTCTGAGACCCAAATCACCCTTCACACCAACATATCAAACGCACAACTCATCAGTGAAAAAAGAGCTTTTGATTCCTCATTAACATCATAAGGTCCCAGTCGCCGGATCGTCAAGCAAAATAAACACTAATGCCGGCCTTCCCATCTCCAACCAGAATATCAAACAGATCCGACGGTTCTTGTATATCTTCACCTGACCGGACCGCCTAACTGAAAACATCAAGATGATGACCTCTCTCTCGGAGCACCGCGTCCCCCACCAAATACACATCATGACTGCGTGAAGATCCATCATTTCGTGTACGCCTGCATTTTCGTTAAACATGGCGTGCCGCTGATTTCAGGGCCAGGGAGAGTCATGGGCCTTTATCACCCATTTTGTCCACCGTGCTGCCATGAGTTTTGCCGTATTAACCGCAAACGAGTCGGCTCTTGTCGAGCGAGCATTATTGAAGTGACAGTGCAATGGACCCACGTGAGCGTCCCATACCCCCCCAAGCCGGCAGAAAAGAAAGAAAAGAGGTTTTTAGAATGTACAAGATTTGCATGTGCACATGCCACCCACATGCAAGAGTCAAATGCCGTGGGAGTTCTATGCCCAAGACACGGTGTAACGGAACAGAGGTGTTCCATGAAGCAAATGGTCGTTAAAGTCGTGAATGCCAGGTGCAGAAATGTAGACAAGAGACATAGCTAGAAGGAGGTATGGACAAAAGAAAAGATGAGGGAGCGAATAGCTGGGGGTGTACTTCGTTCCAAATCCTTTCGTTTGGACTGAAGACGTGTGATAGACAGATGTCGTGATAGGATGTTTTGTTGTGCTGTTTCCGAAAGGACCGTTCGCTCGATGCCGCAAAAGTGCCAGAGATGGAGGCCAAACCGCCTTCTATATGGATCGAGAACTGACCACCCGGATAAGAGCGCAGATAGCTTCCATTACCGTCTAGCACGTTGGGCTGCCATGGTATGCGCACGCTGAAGTCCAGGGTTTGGATCGGCGTAGTTTCCGCCGACTGCACCTCCCTCCAAGGTCTTGCGCCTCTTGAGACCGCTCATATCATCTCCTTGGACACTATCAGGGCGGTACGGGTCTTGGTCTTCATCGTCACGACCGCGTTTACCCGAGTTGTTCACTCCGTTGTTAGGAGCATATCCTTGAGGGGCATACTGTGACACAGCACCAGGAGCCTGGTACGTATCGTGAGGTGCATTACCATTAGATGCACCACGCGTATCGCTCATTACGTTGTACAGGTTGCTGGAAGGAGCCTGGCGCTGCGGGGCTGCGTAGCCGGAGTTCCACTGCTGTTGACCTGTAGCGGCTGATCGAGGAGTGCCACGCCCAGAGCCATTTTGGTGGGGGGATCCCGTCATCTCTGGAGACAGGTGTGCGTGATCAGGGTGCATAGCTCCGGTTGGGCCGTTGGTGCTGTATCCATACGGGCCTCTGTTGCCGTTGTATGGAGCGTTGGAATGTGTGTATTCATTCTCGTGGTCATGCTCATTCTCATTACCAGCGGGAGGCGCGGCAACCTGGTCGTTGCCTTGTGGCATCATACCATCGGCTTGTTTGACTTCGCCTTCGTCTGGCACATCAGTGATACGAGATGGGGGTGCCATCTCGGTCTTGGGATAAGCACCGTCTTGTCGGTATCCCATCATGGGCTGGCCCTGAGAGTATTGGCCAGGCTGAGAAGGTGGCCCAGAGTACAGAGGCCTGTTGCCATCAAAGCTCTGAGCCGCACCGTAGGACATGCCCTGTTGGACAGCTCCTGGGGGTGTGCTTGCTGGAGTTGTAGGCACAGAGCGTGTGTTGCTCAGTCCAGTGTCAATGGATAGCGGCTGGCCACCCTGGGTATTCTGGACGTTGGCACCGCTCCACTCGTACGAACTGCCCTGGTTGCCCATGCCCATGATGCTGGACGCGCTGGTAGGAGGAGTCGGGAATGTATGAGCTCGATCAAGACCTGGACGACCTGATGATGGGTGCGGCTGGATAGCGTGCGGGGGTTGCGACATTGCAGCACCGATAGGATTACTCATCGAGTGATGGTGGTGAAGCGATGGGGGCTGGGATGCCGGTGGACCGGTCATGTATCGCGTCTGCATAGGGTCAGGTCTTCGATTCCGGTCTACAGCCATGGCAGCGCTTCCTACACTTGCCCTCGTCTGGTTCGAGGGATGATAAAGCAGTGCTCCAATGTCGTGAACAAACAGAGGATACAGCTGCTCGGTGATCTTCTCCTTGTTGGCAAACTCGAGAGCCCGCTCAAAAGGAATCCTGTATCATGTCAGCCTTGTAAGGACAAAGACTAGGGTCGAGCTTACCAAACACCCTTGAGGTGCATTGGACCGATCTTGACGACGTGACGCGTCTTTTCGCTCTTCAGGATACCGTCCCTTCGGCCTCGCGTCATACCTGCGACGTTCAGTAGCTTGGTACCGTTGATCATGTGATTATCTATGGCTGTTAGCTTGTGATTCTTCATTGAGTTTGTCGGACAAAGCTCACCTTCACGACGAGCGACGCAAACGCCTTTGGCCTCGACTTGAAAGCAGAGACTGCCCTCATCTTCCCAGAGCGTGGCAGTCACACGGGGCTTCATGCCCGGTGGGGCAACCTGGCCGGTGTGATCGAACGACTGGGTCTGGTAGTTTGGCGCGCCTGAGAGTGAAGATGCAGGGGCACCTGACGACATGGCTACAAAGGTTAGTCTGAGCTAAGTTGAGAAGAACGTAGGGCTTACCAGGGAGCTGGAGTGTTGAAGGTACCATAGTAGGGTTCATCGATGAGGTAGCAGGGATCTGTGAAGGAACACCGCCTGGGTATCCGTACGGGGGATATCCAGGTGGGCCTTGGGCATACTGGTGCTGAGGCTGCATCATCGGGGGCTGCTGCGAGGGATAAGAGTAATGTGGAAGCCCTGTCGGAGGAGCCGATGCTGGTGCGTGAGTAGCGGTAGCCATGTGGGGTTGATGCACATCAGCATATGATTGCATCTGGTTCATGCTGTTGTATCCGTTGGAAACAAAGCCGTATCCGTCCTGAGTTCCGAATGGAGAGCTTTGGATGGGCTGCGCGTCGCGACTAAGAGACTGATGAGTCTGTTCGGGCGAAGGAGTTTTGTAGCCGGTATGTTGACCGTGTACCGACGCAGCGTACGATGTGTTGGAACCAATGCTTCCACCACCGACAGAACTCGAACTGATGGAACCACCTCGCGGCGAGGAAGAGTTTGACGAAGCACTTTGGTGCGACTGAATCTGGGGTAGTGCTGGTAGACGCTCGCTCGACACTGTGGGCTTGGGTGTGTAGTGGGATTGGTACCAAGTGTCGACGGGGCCGCGGGCGTGGACCGACGAGATCGATGGGAGCTCCAGCTTTACGGTATTGATGTGGTTTTGGGTGTGTGTTCTTGTGGGACGTCGAGAAGTCTTCGCGAAGAAACTCGAGTCAGCTCTATAGATAACCGAGCGCGTTCGTGTGGAGGGATAAGCGGTCGACGTTCACGACAGTAGATTGCAGTATCTGCGCACGTATCCGATAAGACGATCGCGGGGTTATGTTATAGTATGCGGTAGATGATTGACGAGGCGAATAACCTTCACCGCAAGTTAGTTGTTTGCTTCCCAGAGGTGAGATCGGTCAACTGCAGCGGGGCTAACGAGACGCGGGCAGACACGTATGCAAACAATAGTAATTTAGACAGCACTTTGGGAGTCGCTGCGTGAAAAGCGTGGTAACAGGGTTGAGGCAAGGCTATACACGGAAAGAGGAGGAGACAGTGGTAGTAGTGAGGAACGAGGAAATCAAGGTACGGTGGGGGTCGCAGAAGTGAGAATGGGAGACTAACTGAAGTGGTTCCTAATTGGACAGGCGACAAAAGGCTCAATGCGCGGTCGAAAGCTGCTGGATGAATTTGAACGCTGCAAACAATGCTGGGGATTCAAAAAGCTAATCGTTACGTCGTTGCAGTCGTGAGGGAGGGGATAGCTGGGGGTAGGCAATGCTTTTGGCGGTTGGCTGCAAAACACGCAAAAAGACGAATTGACGAAAGCCGGCCTGGAAGAATAGCTAGAGGGTGTCTCTAAGGCGTATAGCAGGGGCTTGGGGAGGTCGGGGTGCAGTGTCGTCGTAAATGGTCGTAACGTCGTCGCGCTTCGTTAATGCGGGCCGAGCTGTAGGGATACTGATAGCCGCTGCACCTGCAATAAAAGACTAGGTGCACAACGCGTTAGTACTCGCTTTGTATACAAAAGAAGAGTGCAAAGCGGCGCTGGCTGAGGCAACATGAGTCGGGAAATCAGAGGTAAACAAAAGAACCAGAGGCGGCTTCTCGCAGCCTACGGTGGGGAGGCGGAGGTTTAGAGGCGGAGAGGTGGTTGGGATGTGACATTGATGCTAGCGCTGGACCAACCAGACAAGGCGACAAACAAGCGAGGACACAGGCGGCGACTCGTCCGGCTGGCAGTGCTCGAGACCAAAGAATGGAAACCAGAACCAGAAAGCAGATGAAAAGATGGGGTAGCGAGGCGGGCCTTCCTACTCACCAAACAGGTACCGAACGAGCGAACAAGCGACGGCGAAGAGGGCGCGACAACAACGACAGCAACAGCGACAGCGACAGCGACAACGACAAGGACGGTGGAGGGTAATGCTGCGTGTGGAGAAGGAAGTCGTTCTCGTCGGCAATGCTGCAGGATTCTCTGCAGCGCTCGACAGCAGGCAGGCCGCAGCTAAGAGGGCTGACCGAGCCAGGCGAGCAACGCACGCCCCGCCCCGCAGTCTGATCCAAGTGGCCGCTTCTTTGCAGCGACGGCGTGTCCAATGCTTCTACACTGTCAGTGCGCCGTGGGCGTCGCTGGCAAGTTGTTCCGTGGGAGCGCGAGACGAGCTGTAGCTGCGCGGACGGGCCGACGCGAATTTGCAGGAGCGGCTCAAGAGCTGGCGATGCGGTAGAGATGAAGCCGCAGCAGCGCCTGAAGCCAGAGACGGGTGCGTGCAAGATGCAGGCTCTGTGCTGTACCTAGAGACGGGTGGTGGAGATCTTCTGGGGACTCAGCAGCAGCACACACACGAGCCGCCGCGAGCACACAATCTAAATTCGCATCGGGCTTGGTGGGGAGGGAGCGTGAGCGCACCATGGGCATGGGGGTGGCCCGGCTTGCACACGCAGCCTGGGCCCGCGAGCTGCAATCCCGTGAAAGGCAGGCCGTTTCGCTCGAGACGCACAGGCTCCGCCATGCAGCATGCTGACTGGGCTGATCCGCCGACGATGCGGTTGACAAGGGCGCTGCATGGACACTGTGCTGGCAGGGACAGGGTAAGGAGAAGGCTACCGCGACGACTGCTCAGTGTATGTACGCTATGCACGCAAGCGAGCGTAGGACTCTGCTACCGCTACCAGCCACCACCCTGACGAGCGAAACCACGCCGGGCACGACAGCACCGAGGCACAGCAGATAACTTGCCTGACGAGTTTGCTGCCACCAGGGGGGAGGGGGGGCCGTATGTACAGTACGCAGGGCGCGGACCGAGTGCTCTTCTCCATACCGGGCCTGCTAACGTCTGGCCTTCCTCTGCCTGCCTGTCTGCGCGTCACCTTCTGCCCTCTTCCCCTCTTCTCTTTCTATTCTGGCACTGAGCCGGCCAGGGTGGTGGGCTCCTCCTCCCGGGTCAGACTAGCGGGCGCCTACCTACTTTTTTTTACCACACAAATGTGCCGCGTCCTGAGGCATCGGCTGGCTTCCCGATGGGGATAAGACGGCTGAATAGACGGGGCCAGTCAGCGCAGCCGGAGATATTTGCTGCGCATTGCGGACAGACTCTGTGGCCTCTGTGTGGATTGATAGGGAACAGGCGCAAGGGCTTGCAGGCTTTGACTAAGCTGCGCCGGAACACGTCTGATCCCAACAAGCGATCGCAAAGGCGCTGGTCCAACGTCTGGGTCCATTCGTACGGACAAGTCGGATTGCGGTGCTGAGTGGACCGGCAGGCGCGATGATGTGCGCTGCTGCGAGTCAGAGCGGGACGCTTCGCAATGGCTTTGAGACGAAAAAGCAGACAGACACAATGTAGCACTTGGCAATGCCAGATAGCCACGCTGATTCTGAAACAGACCAACTGCCGCGGCACGCCTGTCTTTGCTGCTGATGGTCGTCATCTTTGCCGCTTTCACAACGGGACAGGTTACTTTGGGCCATGATGCGCGAAAGCGAGTAAGAGTATACCCTGAGGCCATTTCTTCTTCTACCGATAACGATACATCTCCTACACTACATACACTATGTACACTAGGCGGATCGGTTTCCCTGCTCAGGCTAAATGCGTGCCCTCGCTCCAACTGTCGCAGGGATCCATGTGCCTAAGAGCGAGCGGGACAGACGGACGGTAGGCCGTGCAAGTGCAAAGCCAGCCCTCTGCCCCCATACCCATACTGTACTGGGCGCTGGGTCAGGCGACGTCTGATTGGGCGGGTAGTCGACGACGTTGCTACCACACACGCTCAATATGCAAGACATGAAAGCGAGCATGTGAAGCATGTGACGCAGGTGCAACGTGGAGACTCGAGAGAGTCCGGCCGCCCATGACGAGCCACACACACCAACAGCTGAAGGCCTTCCACGGTGCACGTCGATTGACAAACGTGCCGACGGTAACACGGCCTTGACGGTCAATGTGGACGCCGCAAACTTTGATAGGACGTCCGCTAGTTGCGGTGAAGAGATGCGCTGGCGACGCTAGCCCGAGCCGGCTCCGCCAAGTCCTGGTCACGCTTTCTGACTTTGCCCGCAACCGCCACCCGCAACACGCACGCAGAAGTGCGACTCCAGATTCCCTCGTCGTGTCTCGCCCTCGGAATCGCACCTCCCAGCGGCTTGGACGGGGCGTAGTGTGGTACTACAAAGGCATTCCTTTCGGCTTGCTGAAACATGCGCAGTACCGCCACGCGCCGACGACCTTTGACTGCGCCCGCCCTTGGGGAGATGTGAGCATCACGGGACTCGTAGCACGGCGCACGGGAGAGTCCGCCTCCATCCCTGTACCAGGCCATGCGAACGGTGACAGCCTCGACGCTGGCACAAAAGCAAGCCAGCCACTTGACAGTTGGCACTTCTCCAGGTCAGCTTATCGCCGCTGGCGCCAAACCAAGTGTTCGCATCCATTGCCTCCCCTGCTAGCCGCGGAGTGTACCATTGTGCTCTCACAACCAATCCTGCCTCTACGTTATCTTGCAGCATGTGTCGGGAAACTCTGGTCGCGATGCGGCCAACTTGAGCGCACCTGTACCACGACTGACGGCATCAGATGAGGGTCGTCGGAGCAAAACGCATCATCAGTCCCTGCTAGCCGAGCATGGACAGACCATGCCAGGAACTCGATTACAGTCCGGTAGGACAGGTCGCTAGCGTATCAATATTAACTACACCAGACGCAATAGGTAGGACAGAGGGCTCAAGCGACCCGCGCCGTATTACCATGTGCAAGTCTGCCCTCAACCACCTCTGCCCACTGTCTTCTCACCGAGGCGCAGTCACACCATCGTCGCGTGGACTACCGTGTCTAGCAGATATGCACAGGTGGAAATAAGCGTGCAGTGCAGCGCAGCCGGCGCGATGTGGGAGCGGATCGTGGAGAAAGACCCGCGCCCGTCATGCCTTACTTACTTGCTTGCCCACCACACCAGCCTAGGACTTGAGAAGTGCTAACATCAGCCTTGCTAGAATAGACACGGTTGACCGATCGAAGTGGCTACGCCCAGGTGTGCCGTCATCACCGTCTGTCACCACATGACGATCATTCTATTCTCAAACCCGACGACAGGGTTCAGGGCAAGGGCGACTCCTGTTGTATCAGCCTTTGCTCCTCCTCAAGCATCGTGTTCTCGTGTAGTGGCCACGCAGTGGGGTCTGTGTCCATTCTCGTCCAACTGGCAATAAAGCGCAATCTGGACTCGGTTTCCGTACTGCAAACTCGGCTATTCGTGTTTCCGGTCATCCGACTCTGCCAAACTCGCACCTTGCGTGGACAATTGCCAGTGAAAGAAGAATACGGCCAGCGTCCAGACAACGTCAAAGGCCCATGGCGGAGACGGGCGCCACTCCATCGTCGAAACATCTGCACCAGCGTTCCTGCAGCCTGAGGCTATCCCGCGATGCGTCCCCGCCTGGAGCGCCCATGCTGCCATTGGACGGAAGTGGTATGCAGCAAGCCGCACTTGCATATGCATGTGATATAGGATATCCCTGTCTGGTGTGAGCCATGCCCATGCCCCTCTTTCGTCTAAGATCCGATGATGGCCCGATCGAACTGGTGAGAGCAAAGGTCAGAACAAGTGGTTGCACCGACGCCTTGGCGCCCTCGCCTTCGCTTGATAGCCCAGCGAGCGTACTGTATAGCAATCGTCATTGATATCACGTTGAGCTATCATCCTTTCTGATCACGTCCGTTCTTCGAATTCATATTGATCAGCATCACATCCCCGTTCAAGACTCCAGATAGGCGTTCGGCTACCAATCAAGTCCGGCCACGTCAGGAGCCATTAGAGCCGTTATCGGGGTATCGACGGAGGACGCAAGCCACGACCGCTCCTTGCAGCTCGTGGGGTGTGGATGCAGCCCATGATTGGCAGGTGGGAAGGCTCACCGGTTTTGCTCCACAAGTCTGCGCCCCACTTTCTTGTCATGCTTCGTAGACGACTCGCTTGTTGCAACTTGCAACATTCTCTAGCGTCCTTTTGCGTGCACTCCAGATGCTCTTCGATGTCCTCAACAAACTTCAGCAATAAACAATCCAAGTGAGGGGTTCATTGTATGGTTGAAACCACTACCCGTTTTACCGGCAACTGACATCTTCGCTGCGCCATGAATGCACCCCTCACCGCTCTTCTATACTTGGCCATGCGATTTGGAAAGTAGGGATGAAGCAATTTAAACGCTTGATGACGAGCTGGGATCTAGGTCGCGGCTATGCTCCCCCACTGCGCCGCACCTTCAGTGCTCTCCCATCTTGCCTGTGATACGATCCAAGTGCCGGCAGCAAATGTCAGACTGCTAGGCTTGAGTCAAGCAGTGGCGGGCACGTCTGTCGACTCCCGCTTCAGTGCAGCATCTCATACAGCAGCCAAAGCGCAGGTTGCCATCTCGCAGCAGCAGCAGCAGAGCCGCTTGTCGTTGAGGCGCATGATCCGCACGACATACTTATGTGCGTCATTTGCATGTCTCGGTTGGCCTCCGGGGTACACTGCAGTCTGATGGCGTGGAGTGGCATTGCCGCTATCCACCATAGCTTTTGCCCTATGTGGCTGGGCATTTGCTACTGAATCATAGTACCTCAGCACATTTGTTCTACATCAGTCAAGTCCTCCAGTTCCAAGAGCATGTGTTCTAAGAAGGGTCTCAGCGCAGTTATGCATGGACCGTGATGGATTTGCAGAAGCGCCATCAGCCTGCCGCGACTTCTCCCAGGAAGGCATGGACAGTCAAACCCAGCTGTCCGGACGGATATCGACCCGGCATGCGACTGCGGAAAGCGGCACTATGCAGGTTCACACGACTGGGTGCTCGAACGTCGACAACAACTACGGTCTTCTACAAGCCGACTCATGTTTAGCCAGAAAGCATAATGCCGCTGATTATGGAGCAGGCACGAGACGACGGATGCAAGCGCCATTGCGCTATCTGCTAATGACACTCCATTTACCTGAAATCCTTTCAATGACGCCGGGTTCGCAAAAGAGTCTTCATACCCGGTACATCGGTAACAGGCGGCGGTTGGATAAAGAGCAACCGTCGCTTATGCTATACTGGCAATTTACCTCAGAACAATCAGTGACATAATACTGTACATGTTCCGTCCGAGACTCTTCCCGCCGAACTGCCTATCACGCGATAATCCGCTCGTTATCCGCTTTTCCCTGTGGGTAGCGACTTAGTTTGATTCAAAACATGGGCTAGACTACTATAGCTGGACCGGATTCGTATTCGCAGGCCCAGAAGAAGAGAGAAAGTTCAGTTCAAAGGCCGAGATGGTTTCTGGAGGATTCATTGACCGTGGCTATGCGATCGGACTAGATACCGAATCCAATGCACTATGACGCCCAGACCAGTACTCTACGCATGCATAACTCATGCTAGCCTAAGAGACGCGTCAACCATGGCCCGTACGTAAGATTCTCCGCCTACTCCATCGCTATCCGAAGAAACCGAAGCAAACGTGCTCGACCAGCTATCCTAGAGAATGCTGGGGTGGTTGGGAAGTTCTGGGCTGGCTGATCGTTTACGAAAATCTCTGCATGCATTGCGGGCCGAGAGAAGTTGCGCCTGGGACGTATCGCGGCCAACGGCCATTTAGCGGATTTAGTGAAGTCATGTCATCCTGTCTTTGACTGCTGAGTGGCTGCGTTCGCAGTATGCGAACCATGGTTGCAAACACCATAGCACCGTGCTAAACGTAGTATACCTCCAAAAGCGTATCACGTCTTCATATCGGGATACGACGCCACCACCAAATCTACGCCTGTGTATCCGGACCCCGCATTGAACACGACGGTCGTCGGCTGTTGACGGCCGGCGCTCGCTCAGCCTACGAATAGTACTCCGGCAAAGGTAGTAGTACTTCTGCATGCAGTTCGGTCCCAGTCTTCGTTGTTGACCTCACCAAGGTTCAGCACATTGACATCAAAAGTATCGTCAGTGGGATCTCCGCTTCCTCTTTGTGTGGTCGATCACACACCAGTCAAACTCAACCTTGTTCCTTGCTCCTTGCTCATCTTTCCAGGTATCATGGCGACATCATCATCCCCATGGCCGGCTTCCCTCCCGGATTCACTCCGAATCACTAGGCCCCCTGGTTCCCATCCCATGAAACAAGCCGAGCTAGACCCTGAAACACAAATGTCTCTATCCAAGGTAGAGCCCACATTTCTATCATCTGCAATCTTCTGCGAACACATGTTGTAGATGAAACACTCTGCGTCGCAACTCCACGATGTTGTATGAAACCCGGGCAGGACGTATCCATCTGTCGAGTAATTGACGTGCGTCGCGGGCCGTCTCTGCAAGTCTTGACACGTTCGGTATGTGTGACCCTGCATTGCAGAGAGGCGTGCTGCGTGCGTGCTGCGTGCGTGCATGCGCATGCTGGAAGCTCGTTTTGTCTCAGATGCTGCGGGGATTCGGACAGACTCGCATGTAGAAACTGGCCATATCACGTGCCCCTCGTCTACCTATCAAACACCTAGTGAAGCAATGCGCCTGGCAAGCTCATGACTCTCGTTAGCTCTGTCGTCGTTTGGGGAAGGGAGGCCGGTCAAATCATAGATCTGATGACTGTCAGTCAGATGGCACACGAGTCAGCTGAGTGTGGGCAATGTACAACATCACATCATCTCTATCAGCAGCATACGTATCATCGCGAATACTGAGAAGCATTAGAAAGCAATGCCGTATGATTTCCGGCCTGTAGTTTGCTTTGCTTGAGCTTGCGGGGTTCGCAGCTTTGTTCAAGATGTGTCTTCTCAAGTGAGCATGCTGACTGTGTAGCCCCGCCATGATTTGCAATGAGGGCATGGCAACGTATCCCGTATTACTTACTTCGTTTGTGTGCATGTAATTGAGCTCGAATTATACTACAATGGCCATCGTACTCATCATATCCCTCATCTCCATACCCTTCCTCGTCATACAGCCCCTATTCAAACTCTTCTGCAACTACACTACTGCACAGAAGTCGGGCTTACGCATCATAGTCAGCCCCCTCCCCCCATTTTCCTTCCAGTGGCAACTAGCTGCCCACTTGTTCAGGCCGCTGCTACAGCAGTGGCAATGGTTTAGAGCTATTGATTGGACATGCTGCTGGCACGATAACGACGCTTTGCACCAAGAGCTGGGTCTTTGCTTTATCGTTGTGTCTCCGGGACATAATGTGCTGTGCACGAGTGACCCGCGGTCAATCGATCATGTACTTAAGAAGTGGAGGGATTTTGTGAAGCCCGATAACGTTAATGGTGAGTATGCTCCAATGGGCGGTTCAGCATTTGCAAGATCTGATTGCGAAGTGCAGAGATATTGGGTACTTTCGGCCAAAATGTCGACACGGTACGTAACCAGAAGTCTAGACAGCACAGTTTATTCTTTATATTTGCTTCGTTTAAATTTATTAATGCGCAATCTGACACTTGCAGTCAAATGGTGATGATTGGATTCGCCATCGAAAGCTCACGGCACCTTGCTTCAATGAGCGCGCTTCTGCCACAGTATGGAGGGAAGCATTGCAACAATCGAATGCCATGCTAGATCAATGGCTCTTATCAGCGGGTGAGAAACAAAACAGTATGATCCAGGATACCAGCACCCTAGCGTTGAATGTCATATCTTCGGTCGCATTCGAGAATAACGAGGTCAACAAACCCACCTCAGGCCACACCCTATCTCTCCGAGATGCTCTAGTAACGGTCATGAGTACCTCAATCTCACCAGCGATGGAAGGCATCATACCATTGCTCAGGCTTCCTCCACTAGAGACATTCCTCCCCAAAAGTGTCAAACAACTACTAGTAGCCATGACGGAATTCAGACAGTACATGGACGAGATCGTTGCAAAGGAGAAAAAGAGACCACGTACTGAGGGTACAAAGGGTCCGAATCTGATCAGCTCACTCGTCAACGCCAATGATGAAGTAAAGACTGAAGCTGGGAAGCCGAAGAGCCGTCTTTCAAACGGAGAGCTTAGAGGAAACATCTTCATCTTCACAGTTGGTGGACTTGAATCAACGTCTAATACCCTTTCATATGCGCTGGCCCTGCTGGCTGTACATCCGGAAGTTCAGACATGGCTTGTGGAAGAGCTGGATGAAGTTGTCAAGGATTGCCCGGACGGAGATATGGACTATGCGACAGCGTTCCCACGCCTGAAAAGAACAATGGCTGTTATGGTACGTACTTGATCGTTCCAGCAGTGATAATTCAAGCGTATGCTGTCTTGCGAGGTGTATAATACTAACAGTGGGCCGCAAGTATGAAACACTTCGCCTCTACGGCCCTTCCCCACCTATACCGCGATCGCCCTTTCCCGAAAACTCCAACCAAGTGATCCCTGTATCGGTTCCAAAGTCCGAAGGGAGTACCACACACTTCACACTTCCACCAAATACTCAGCTCATGCTAAATTCTTGGGCTTCGCACACCTCCCCTGCACACTTCTGCGATCCTCTTGTCTGGGACCCCAAACGCTGGATCCAAACTCATGGTGTAAACTCCAATGGACCTGTCTCTGCCGCTGGCCTTACAGCGGAGGAATTGAAGCACCCTGGTAGTGGTAGTGGATTTTTCGCTTGGGGCACTGGACCTAGGGTGTGTCCTGGCATGAAGTTTAGTCAGGTGGAGTTTTGCGGGGCTCTGAGCAGCGTGCTGCGGAGGGTCAGAGTGGAAGCTGTTGGACAAGGAGGGAAGGATAACATCATGAGCGTCTTGAGAGACTCGCATGCGGAGCCGCTGTTGTTGCACGTAAGACAGCCAGAGAAGTTGGAGTTGAGAATCTTGCAGCGCTGAGACTTCAGCTAATGCACTGACTCTGAGGCATCTAAGCCTCATCGACACAGCCACAACGCATTGCTGCATTTTATCGAGATTGATTGACCATGATTATGCAGTATCAGGCATATCCCTGTATGAGAATCAAGACGGACTTTATTGTCAAGTTCGGCGTCAGGCTTTTGGGTGGTACCGCATCATCATTGCCGCACAAGGCTAGGTAGCTACTCCCCCACGTTCGTCACATCAGGCGACTGCACACATGTACACACAACCCCTTTCCAAATCGACGTCTGTTCTTTTCTTCATAGCTACTCAGCCACGTATCTGCCCAGGTAGAGTTCCGCCGCATGATGCCACCTGTGGGTCTGCAGCTATCAATGTGTGTTCCCATTGGTCGTCGACTCCACGCAAGAGGCCGCTAACCAGATCAGCCTCACTACACATGCAACGACCAGCCTAGGCCAACACCACAACTTCTGAAATCGGGTACTTAAGTTCCCAAGGTCGTCCATATTTGCACCAAATCACTCACGAAACACTTAAATTTGTGAAATTCTGCCTTGAAAATGACGTCTAGCCTTGCAACTCCGCCCTCCAATCTCCAACTGCAAAGCCCTCTCTTTGGTATACTACCTGGAGAGATCCGCAACAACATCTTCGAGCTGGCCCTCATGCAAGATGAAGACGAAGAAGAGGCATACCCAGAAGATTCATACTGGTATAGACCGGGCTTCTCAGGGCCACTCAAGGGTAGCAGTGCGCTTCTGCGCACATGCAGAATGGCGTATAGAGAAGGACAGAAAGTATTCTTGAGGGAGCTGGAAACTGCTTTTTGGTTCGGTATGTTGCTTTGAACCTTGGCGTCGCAGCGGATGCTAACATGCATGTTTTAGACCGAGGACCAGAAGGCCGTTCGGGCAACAGCGCATGCGAAAACTTCTTCTGGGATCTCACACCACAAGCCTCCCAAGCGCTTCAGAAGGTCCGCTTCTTCACGCAAATGTATTGGCTCGAAAATGGCCACAACACGTACTATCTTTTCTCGTTACCGCAATTCCGCCCTACTCAACTCACGATCACGATTCGATACTCTGATTGGTAGCATTGGGAGCACGACTACCCGCTTCGAATGGGAGAGCACTGGCTACAATTCTTCATGGGCAGCCCAGGGCTGCGCGTACTTCAAGTTGAGTATGAGACTCTCAGTCGGAAGAAAGAGGAGATGATGCGCATCGTTCAACGAAACAAGAAGTGGAAGCTTCCTGTGCGAAGGGAAGCTGAGTCGTACCAAGAAGCCGACATGGAGGGTCATCTGAGCGCAGAGGGCACTGAGCTGAAGGAGTGGACGTGGAAGGGCACGAGCAAGCTAGGTGGGGAAAAATGGGCTCCTCATGGAACCGCTGACAAGTTGGAATATGTTGTAGTGACGGACACCTGGAGGTTTGTTGATACTCCACTCAGCGCTGAAGAAATGCGCGGACGTGATGATGCTAGGATGAAGACGGCCCCAGCGACGAGGGAAATCGCGAAAGAAAGGCTTCGGAGTATGTTTCGCCGGGATGATAGGCTGGATCTGATGTGGACCTCACCAGCTGTTGAGCTTTGAGAGCTCTCTGCACGTATGAATAAGTGAGCTTTCTTCAAACTCAAACACAGACTCAAAGACTCAGATTGGTATGGTAATAAGCGCATATTCGATACTCTGAACCCACTCAATATGTCAAGCTCCGTAGCCAAAGGCTCATGGGCTACCTTACTCTCAATTGTGTCGCGACACCTCATTCTGGTGTGCGAGCCATTATGATGATGACGTAGCCTCCCCACCGACCTGGCCTTTCACGGCAACGCTCAACGATGTTGAAATGATAGGTTGGGGGTGAGTAAGAAATCCGAGAAGAGAAGAAAGAATGCTTGAAGATCTAAGATCTGAGGTGCGTCTCTTGCAGCGAGCTTGGCAACATCGAAGCGAGTGAAGGTAAAGTCACATGAGAGCGTGTTGACGGCCTTGCCTAGTCGAGACTAGAGCTTAATCGTCATTGCCTAACACGCAGCGACTCCCACACTGTTTGTTTACTTCAACCGACACACCTGCAAAGTCCTCACACACTCACCGACATGGCGGAGCTTTTGTCTCTACCGGACGAACTCTTGCTTGCAATTGCCAACGAGATGCAAGGCGACATAAGAAACGCCTACCGCAGTCTAAGATCTCTGGCGCTGTCTTGCCGACGACTGCGACCTATCGCGCAGGAGGTCCTCTATATGGACGTCGCTATCTGCAGAACCCAGTCATTACGAGGCCCAAATAGTCTCACATGCCTCGTACAAACCCTTGTACAGCGGCCAGGTCTTGCGGTGAAAGTCAACAAGCTCAATCTAAGGATCATCGGCAATCCCATTATGCACTCGAAGGATTGTTTGGAGCTGATGTATACTGAATATGAAGGTTGCACTTGTGGTTTCAAACCAGTTCTCTCTCTCTGTATCGAAACCATCGGTAATATCAGGGCAAACAATGGCTCCCGTCTCTACAACCATGACTGGGCGTCCAATATACAGGCCGGGCTTCAGTTAGCTATGGTCGGCCTCATCCTATGTCTCACGCCGCACCTCGAAAGCCTGACGTTGGATTACCGCAAGCAGAAAATGGAGTCTTCTGGTTTTTACACAAAACCTATCGCATTTGAGCACTTCAGTCTCGATGACCTCTTCGGAAGCGTAACTCAGTCCCCAGCGTTTTCTATCGAGCACATCAAAGGCTTCGCGAAACTTACGCGGCTTATCACCAACACTTGTCCTCCGTCCAAATTGATAAGCCTACCTCAACTGAAAGGGTTGGAAATAGGCCTTCTCAACGACCACTGGAACCAAGATCGAGGCCTCAGACCTTTACTCTCGACCGGCACAGCTCTTTCCATGACGATGACTCACCTGACTGTACGATTGGACAAGCTCGCACTCTACTCCGATCGAGCCATTCTAGTACGTGGCGTCTATCGACGCCTGAATGATATAATCAAGAATCTTACGGTCCTGGAATATCTATTTCTACAATTTGGGTCCGAATGGGGAAAACGATTCGACCCACGCCAGGGCGACTTGTCAGAAGCATCATTTGAGTATGTAACTTCAGAGATAGAGAGCCTCAGTTTGACACATTTAGCTCTGGATGTTGAAGACGTTGGAAAAGCCTGGTTCTACGAGAGCGGCGAGACTCCCTTCGAAGTAATACGACCGATGACCTCACTCAGAAGGTTACCGAAGCTTCGCAGCATCACAGCCCCAGAAGAGGCCTTTTTCTTTCCGGGCGGATTTGAGACGTGCGTTATACCTTCAACCATCGAAAGTATTGGAATAATCAGTGCAACATATGGGACATATCAATTTATCAGATATATCCTAAGCGACCAAGGACAGTGGCCGAGTTTGACGTCAATCAAGTTAGAAACGGGGCAGGACAATCCAGGACTATACAACAACATCCACCCTCAAATGTATGATGAAGACGATGTCTCTGAAGCCTTTTACTATCTCTGCGGCTGCAAGGGCGAGTGCAGGTGCAAGTACGATTCTGATCACGAGTGCGAGTGCGAGTGCGAGTACCACTGCGAGGTCGACTGCGAGAGTGAGGAAGGCTGCGACCATTGTTACCGTATCCATGCGTGGTACTGCGACAATACGCGTTGGAGAGAATTTTTCAAGCAAGATCGTGCGATCTTCCTGGGGTCTAAGAACATCGATGTGTGTATAGAGATTGTACAAGAGAAGCTGGCGTGGAGGGAAGAATGGACTGGTTGAAGCCGGCGGGTATTATCCACTGTCAAGGAGGAGGTCGAGTGTAACAGGTCTATGTTCAAAGTTTGTGTGATGATTCCAACACTATCGGATCATGGCGGCGACGGCGCATACTTTTAAGACTGCCTCGACGATTTCAATCATATGTAACATAGAGTACTCAGTATTGATGTCATACAAATGCGACATACTGTTACAAACGTCTTTGTGGACTTCCTGTGGATTTGAACTGCCTGTACCATCGTCATCGATTTTCTCACAAATACTAGTGACAGAATGTAGTTGACATGAACTACGTCTTGACTTTTTCTGCAACGTTCCGATGTTTATCATATCGGATTGTAGTACTTGAAACTGTTCTTCGGATCCCAATCATTCTTCAGTTTGGTCAACTTCGCAAGCCTGGCATCGTACCCATACAACTCAGCCTTTGGTTCCTCTCCATTGGCATAATTAACATAGCAATGCCGCTTCCCATCGCTCTTATCAAGCCCCGTATATAGCGCATCACGAATTGCGCGCGTGTATGCATACGCGTCTTTATTCGTCTGCTCATCGTCGCCCTTCCACCACAAGACCGGACTTGCAAGGATAGGATTCTCGCGCTCCTCCAGTGCTAGAGCAGTGGATGCTGGATCAACAGCCCTCACACCCTGCATACCGTAATTTTCCAAGAGAATGATGGCGGTGCTGAACCGAGGATCTGCCGTCACGTTTGCGAAAACCGTGAAAGCTTTGCGGAGACCTTCAATGTCCCAGGTAGGCAGTGTGACGCCGGCTCCAGCGATGTTCTCATTCTTTGCGCAGACATGGCTGTCGATGTTGTTTCCAGTTACTGTGTATAGTTCAACATAGTTGACGTTGGTTGAGACTGTGATTGAGATGGGGCCGAGAGCTTTGAAGTAGGCTGCGTATGGCTCTGCTTCTGCTTGTGACCCTTCGTATGCGACGGTATATGCTACTACGGGCTATTTTGGAATTAGATTTAGGTGCAAATATGAGTGAGGGGCTACCTACATTGACTGGATCAACACCAGGAAGCTTCGCGAACACTCCAGTGAGTGCCAATTTCGCTGGCCGCTTCATTGATGGGCCTTCAAAATCATTGAGAAGACTGAATAGCGACTCAATCTTCTCAGCTGGGTATATCAACGAGTATACTGTCCAGTTAGATGGTATATCATGGGTCTTGACTTCAAGGCTGGTCACGATGCCAAAATTATGACCGGCTCCTTGTAAGGCCCAGAAGAGATCAGCATTCCTCGTGCGAGATGCTTCGACTATTTTGCCACTGGCGATCACTAAGCGTGCGGAGACAAGTCCGTCGAGAGAATAGCCGTATTGGCCTTGTAGCAAGCTGTGGCCACCTCCCAAGAGGGGACCTGCGACAGAAACACATTCTGAAAGTCCGGTGACTGGGACATAGATAATCAGCCTAATTTCAATACGAAAAGTAGTAGAATTTGACTCACCAGCATACTTTCCCTTGGCAAACAGTGCGCGGGTGATCTCGTATTGCAACGTACCGCCCCCAACCATGGCAGTCTTTCCATCTTGGCTCAGTGTCGTAGTATTGAGCTTCCGCATATTGATCTGAATGCCATATGGCAGTTTGTTGAGCGACTTTGTCCATCCATGAGCACCTGAGATAGCCAGGAAAGGAATGTTGAAACGATTAGCCAAGGTGACTGTCGCTTGTACATCGGACTCGGTCGCTACTTGGACAATGACGCTGTAATGAGGAGATACACGCGGTGACGAGGCGCGCAACTGCAATATATCCCATTCGGCTCCTCCCGGGAATGTGATAGTGGCTTCATCGGAAAGTTGAGCGCTCAGTGCGGAGACGGCATGCTTTAGATCCTTTTGCTCGAATGCGGATGAGCAACGGATGATACACAGCAGTCCTGTTACAATGGTACGAACGAGCATGGTGACGGGGCTCTCCAGACGTGTCCAGTATTCAGGATATGGATGATCAGAGAGAAGGATCGCAAAAGATAAGAGAGACCTGACAGGGTGACAAGCTCCTTTTATTGACCAGCTTCACACGATTACATGTCAGGAGTGGCGTGCATCTGCAGTATCTTTCCTGTGCTACACGCATGCACGTCGGCCCCATACATGTATACTTCAGCCGACAGCGTAGAAACATCACTAGTGATCTAGCTTGTTGACTCGGCTGGAAGGTGCAGAGTGGATGGTATGCTTTTTTCGGAATGCCCGGACAGACGTCGGGTCATGTAGTTACAAGCTTTGAATCATAATTTCAAACAAGGCTAGATCATCCGATCGATATTCTCGAATCGTTGAAAGTATAGTTAGTGCTAGTTAGACATTGAATGTATGAGAGGGCATGGCGCCTCCCCATGTCTCGGCCAAGGCGCTACGGGTGGCACACATCCCGCACTTCGGGTACCCGACCCCCGAGTGACTTCTAAGGTTCCTCTGCTATACAAGTAAAAATTCCATCAACAACAACTGCATGTGTCCATCGTCGGGTTAGCGATCGATAACCCATAAGGATACGAACTGATGACCGCTAGCGACGATATAGTATATAGATACACCATTTCCCACACGAGCCGATGTAGTTGTGAGGCACAGCATTTTTAACAACCCCGCCTGAGCACTGGCATGGTCGTTTGCCTTCTGAAGCTGCTATAGAGGTGGAAATACGTCAAAATCCTAACCATGACCGGATCACGGGAATCGTTAACTTAATCTGCCCTCAAAAACGCCTCTACTACTCGTGCAGGGGCTATCATTACCTAGGTAGGCAAAACCCGTTCACAGGAACGTCACCCCGCGCCCGGGTTTGCTCAAGATGCCAGAAATTGTTCCTGAGGCCTGAAATACGACTATGGAATTTCGGAAGTCAATCTTGAAAAGGAAGTGACAGTTGGTGAAACGCGACAGTGTTTCGTATGCGAATTTTGGTGGCGAGCAGTCCAGTGTCGGGTTAGCTTAGACCTCAAGCTCTGGGGATTTGGTAATTTTTTAACTTGCTGGCAGACGGAAAACCAACTGCTTGTTTCTTCCGAGTCGCAGACAATACACAAGAACTATCAATGGACGTGGCCAGCTTTGGCGCCTGGACGACCGCCGATACGAAACCAAGGTATCCAATGAGGATTGTACCAACGTTCACGAAAAACACTGCGGATCAATCCTGCATCGAGCAATTGTTCGGTTGGCTGCGAAAATGCGAAAATGATCATCCAACTTGTCACAGGGCTTCAACAAGCCACCGTGCCTGTGAAATGCCCACTCGCTTGATCGACTTGAACGGCCAACCAAAATTGATAGAGACCGCACACTACGATTTGGAAGAAGAAAATAGCAGAAACGTGACCCTTAGCCACCGATGGACTCAAGGCTGCACTATCAAGCTGCTCCATTCAAATATCGAGGCTTTGAAGCAACATATCGACTCTGCCACTCTGTCCACAGTCTTCCGCGATACATTGTTTATGGCGAAACAGTTCGGTATCTTCTACATTTGAATTGATGCGCTGTGCATTATCCAAGATGATGACGAGGATTGGCGTAAAGAATCATCTTTGATGGGGAAGGTGTACCAAAATGCTTATTGCAACTTTGGAGCTACTGCAGTAGCAAGGGAAGCACACCTGGATCTATCCCAGGCCCTGAGATTCTTTAGGAATCGAGAATTCAAAACCATACCTCATTTTGATAAGCCGAACAACCATCAGCGGTCGTACTACGCCTTTCCGCATTCGCTATGGTCAGCGTAATTTGTTCGACACGAGCCTCTGCTTGGACTTAAGAGTTCAGGGCAAACAAGCATGTTCCAATTCCGTTCCAAAACACTACGAACTTTTTAGTTTGGGATTCAACAACGAAAGGGGACACGAGGAATTGATGTGAGAAGAGTGGTGACACATCGTAAAGGATACGAGTCATCGTGTATACAGCCTCTCCCCTACCAGTAGGTGCCTAGCGCTTTCTAAGAAGGATTTGATCATACCTACCAATCTAAGGTAGGTAAGCTAGATCAACGCTAAGCAGAGATAAGATGAGGCTAAGTAAGGGACAAAAACCTTTAAGCAAGGTATCTAAATACATCTATAAACTGCAGATACGATATTATGACATCGTAAGCTGCATATTCGAAGTTAGCTTACGATATAATAGCACGTGACTTCTGTTACTAGTCTATATATTAAAGGTCCCTTTCCCGCTCTTTACTCCTCTAACAAACCACCTCTACTAGTTATCCGATACATTAATTTAGCTAATTTCCCTTCATTATTGCAGAATTTGCCTAACAACACTCTCTAGTGGATTTCAGCTTCAAAGTCATTGCCTCGTTTCGACGCATACTTCAGTTCAACAAAAATGCAAGTAAAATTAATCTAAGTACCTTCTTACGCCTCTTATAGCCGTACTAGGCGCTCAGCTTATGCTAAAAACTGTCCTCGCTGAGACACCGTTCTCTTATTGCTTTTGCATCGATACTGGCAATAACAATGCAGTCGACGCAGTTGCCACACAAACAGCATGTGATCAAATAGGTCACTCTGATTACTATTCTGGTTCGCAAAAGTGCCAGGCTACGGACACATGGTATTCTCAACAGTTGCTTCGACTGCCTGTGCCGGAAGCACAACAGGCACGCCAGCTGCTTCGACAAGGACACCTCTGCGTTTCACATCGCTTGCGGCGCTTGTTGAAAGTCTTCGGCTCTCGGTCATACGCGATAGCAGATAGGGTGGTGCTGAGGGCATAATTCTTTTAGTAGTGTTGGTATCCTGTGTCGCGCCAGCTGCTGAGATAAGGCCGAAACTCTTAGTAGATTGCTCTTCAAATCATGTGATCAAGGGGTCTTCAGTCTGGTAGTATTGGTATCATTTGTTGCGCCAGCTAGTCATTGTAGGGCCTTGGGGTTAGCAAAAAACGAACATATCTGAATTCGATTACAAACCATTCCGTGTTCCTCATAACTAATAACCTGAGTTACAGATAAGTCACTCCTTAAAGAATCTACGGAACCGCTGTTTCGTCTAATAACGCTTGTTGGGCTATGGAAAACGGGATAAACTCCCATGTTCAATAACTTATTGACGAACCAGACTTATGAGAGTTGGCACTACCTGGTGGAGATATAGGAGGTACGATATGTTATGTTCTAGCGACCAACTCCTAGCTATGTCTTGCCTTACTTATCACTTTAGAGATGTACTCAATGATGAATACCTCGCTGGACTATGATAAAGCGACATGATCTGTGGGCTGCTTCGGTCATAGCCCCTTTATAGTCCTGGGTCGCACATGATTTCCTAGCAACTGATATCACTCCGGCTGGGTCGAAGATACTTTATCAACATGTTATATTGAATGACAAATGTCAAGAAAATTTCATTGTTAATATAGAAAACGACAGTGTTACACTAACTAGCTCAGACCCGATGGGCCAGATCTGAGATGGTTTCACTCAGAATCCGGGTGTTTGCGGCCTAACCTTGGAGTGCAAAGGTGCAAGTCATGAGAAGAAGGACTGGGAATTCAGGAGGCACTCTTCAAATCATATAATCACGGTTATAGTGAAGATGCATACCACTCAAGAAAAGACACATTCTTCTTTGTGTTGTCACATCTGCCCAAAGTAAGAGTGTGGGAATCAAGACAGGGCGGTTTCCCGACAGTACGGGGATTGATACTAGACAGAACCAGACAACTATCGCCGCATGAGGCTCATACGCACTCTGCCCTGACGACCACACCGAATTTGCGGATTTTGAAATTGACAACCTGGATCTTCAAACCATCAAAATTGTGTAGACTGCTTCATGGTACCAGAACTTAACTATACAATACACACTATCCAACAAATTCATCGAACACCAACTTTTCGAGATGACAAAAAGGTCCTGGATTACCCTTTTCATCTCAA